GTTTTGAGAGAGTATAAAAGGCACTTTCCTCTGTTTTTCGACAGAACACTCCTCTCTTCTCTCTATCTTCTTCCCTTTTTCCTCTTCCTTCTCTCTAAAAGCTGAAGAACTCCGGTTGAATATCGGTCGGATTCTGAAAAATGTGGCCGAAATTTGGAAAATTTCACCAGAAATTCGTCGAAAGTTGATCGGAAGATCACCGGTTTCTGGGATTCTTCGTCGAAAATTGGGCAGGTCGCCGGAAACTTCAAGTTTGGTCAAAATTTTCGTTGGAAAATTCAAACTTCGCCGAAAAATTCACCGGAATCTGGAATTTCCAAAAATTTTCAAAAAAAAAAATCACCAAAAAAACTTCAAAAAATTTCTTCTCACTCCCAGAACACTCTTAAACCTTTTCTTAACTCTCTATACGTCCCTATTCTCTCAATCAGTAGCTTTTGCTTACTGTTTTCTCTCTGTTTGCAATCTGTTCCAGGAGGTCCCTTTTATAGGGATTGATCAGAAGTTCCTGATAAATTCCAATTCCTCTTTGGACGGGAATTCAATCTTTGAATCCAATCTGGACTCTCTTGATTGAATTCCTCTTCACAGTGGGATTCTTCCACTTTCAATCCCAGCTCTCCAAAATCAAATAAAAAAATAATAGATAATTAAAAAAGATAGGATAAATAAAAAAATAATAATAATATCAGATATACAAAAAATCAGATAAACGGAACAAGAGAGAAAAAAAATTATTAACAGATAATACAATAAGATAAATAAAAAAAAATATTACAAGAAAAAAAAAATAAATAAATTATAATATATAATAAATATAAAACTATATAAATAAAATACATATAAATATTAACAAAATAAATAAATAAATAAAAATATACATATAATAATAAATAATAAAATACAAAAAATACAAAAAAATAATAATAATAATAATACAAAGTAAAAATTGCATTGGGCTTATCCATTTGAGTCAGGCCCAATTGATTTGGGTCAGGACTCAATTGGGTGTCTACAAAAATCATACTCGTAATGGGAACCCAAAAACAATATAATGTTTAATTAAATTATTATTCTTGTTAACAATAATTTAATCACGAGTGATGAGAATACTTGACATAAAGATCTTGAAGCACATCAGCGCAAAGTTGACTCGATTGATAATTTTACTTGCCTTAAAAGAGAATTAAATTATTTCGAATTCATTTTTTTTTTGCCACTTGTTATCATCGGATTTAATTTTGAATGCATAATTTTTATAGATTTAAAATAAAAACTTCGCAATTTATCTATTTTACAATTTTAATTTTAACTTCGTATGAATAAAGGAATTAATTTAAGCAAAGAGAAAAATTAAATATTACATTACTATGTTGCCATGGTATCTACGAGATTTGATTTCCTTTTCTTTCTTATATATTCTGAATAATTTCCTTCCTAGCTACACCATTCCAAATTGTTACAAAAGTAATATAAGCCAAGAGAAAAACAAAAAGAACAACATCCAATTTTCAACAGTTGATGAAACTTCTAAATTGAAAAAAAAAAAAAGGGTTAAAGCTTATGTTTTTAAAAGTAAAGTTAGGTTTAGCAGGGTGTTAATTCAATTTGATTTGATTAATTTTAAATTGAATTATTCAAAATCAAATTAATCGAATCATATTATTTTATTTTTATTAATTGAATTGAAATTTTTAATTTCAACAATTAATCGACCGAAATTAATTCGATCTATTCGGTTAATTTTTTGATTAATCGAATAATAAAATATATTAAATTATATTATATTTTAAATTCTTAATTTTTTATATTTAACACAAATTAAATAAAACCATCCAACAAAAATATTCAAATACTAAAGTATTAAGTTAAAACATTTAATAATTTGAAATGAAATGGGTAATTTTATATATTTTTAGTCATAATATAAATTTTATTATATTTCAGTTAAATTTTGATTAATTTGATTTTCGAACCGAATAAACAAAAAATCAAAATTTCTCTAAAATAATTTTCGATAATCATTCAAATTTAATTCAGTGGTCAATTGATTAATTAAATTAAATCGATTCAATCAGTTAATTCAACTAAAATTGAATTATGAACACCCTTAAATTTTAGGGTCAAGAACCTCAGGGACTAAGTTTAATTTTTATCATGTATGAGTTTAATCTCAAATTCATTTAAAAAATTTTCAACTAAATTCATTTATTCATTATTAGTTTGATTATTTGATTAATTAGTTGAAATGATTATAATTTCTTTTGTATTAATACTTTCATAAATAATCTCATGTTTAAACGAAAATTTCATAAAATAAAAAAAATAGTTTCTTTTTTTCTTATATAATTTAAAACCCATTTAAAAATTTAAAATGTCATATTTAGACAAAGTCAAAATCTTATTAATTGCACTCCTCAGTCCTCTCCATCCTTTATATATAAGGCAGCCAATCCTACCAACTAGAGTTTAAGTTAGTTTATTGGCTAACCTACTTTATTTAGATTATTTAAGTAATAACTTTGCAAAAAATTTTTAGCTAATTCTACAATTATATTGATTATCCAATTCGGAACTTCCAATCCCTAATCTAAAATATTAAAACTTCTAGCATTTTAGATTTAAAAAAAAAAAAAAAACGTTGAAGAAGAAAAATAAGAAGGAAGAGAAATGCCTAGAGTTCGATAAATTATTCTACGTTAAATCTTTGTCTTTAAATTTGGTATTGTTTATAATCCCTATATCAAATAATTTTTTTTTAGCAAATTGCCAAAAAGAAATGCTTCTATTATCAAATAAACTGATAGTTTATTAAATAAAGTATACCCAATTACAAGCATAAAAAACGAGTTATTATTTTTTATCTAAAAATATATTTATATATAATTTGCACAAGAATTATCAAATGATGTATATTTTTAACTTAAATTTTAATTTCATTAACTGAACTCAATTATATAGTATTTAGTATATATGATTTTATTATATATTTATCATTTATTAAATATTTTATAAAAAAATCCATGTGAATGCAAAGTGAATGTTATGTAACAATCAATAATTGATTGATTTTGCATACAATACAAATTGGATAAAAAAATATATTTTAATTTATATTGCTAAGCATGTTGATAATTTTGTATAATGAACACGTAATCAGATAATATTAATAAATTTTTTCTATAATCAATTTATATATATTTTTAAAGTTTATATATTATAGTTAATTAAAAAAAAAATTAGAAATGTTATAAAAAAAATGGGTCTTTCCTCACCAAACTCTGGCTCTGCCTGGTTGGATGCACCACTAAATTCTTCACGAGGAAAAGGTGACCCTACCTGCTCCTTTCAAAGGAAGAAATAATTTCAGCAAGGAGACCGAGACGATGACATCAAAGAACATTCAAGATGCACCCTTTAACTAGAGTGAGAAAACCGAAAATCTATTCAAAATTATAATACTCAGTTTGATTAGTAATGATTTTTTTATATTTAATTTATATTAAATTTAGATATTAAATGTATATATTAAATTCAAATAAAATTTTGAATAAAAGTTAAAAATCTGAAAATAAACCAAACTAAATTGAATTAATATTTTTATCAACTTTTATATATTTTTTAAATTTTATAAAATAAAAATAATTAATTATATTAAAATTTATTTAAATATATTAAAAATTATATTAAAATAATATATAAAAGATAAATTTAAAAAATTGATGAACTGAATCAAACCAATAAAATTCAGATTGAATTGAATCGAATCGAATCATATAAAAATTTGATTTAAATTCAGATCAAATTTTAAAATTCATAATTTTATGTATTATTCGAAAAAATTAAATCAAATCTGATTCAATTCGAACCATTATTACTCTTACTTTTAACAAGTCAAAAACTATAAATTATGGGGGCATGGGCTCTTAATTTTGAGAATATATCATTTATAATTATTATTATAATTAATTAATTATAATTTAAAATTATATAAAATTTGTTAATTTTATATAAATCCACATTTGTAAGTTATGAAACTCTATACAATTTTTTAATATGATTAAACAATTATAAAATTATGATAAAAAAATTATAAGTGAAATATACCCTTAACTTTCTCCTTCATTATGATACTATATTTTTTATCCTTTATAAACAAAAATGAATAAATAAATAAACAACGGATAACTCAATTGATTTTTAATTTATAGGCATGAAACACAGGGATAACACACGATTTTATCCCTGGGGAAAACCTTAACAATTGAGACTTTGAAACTTTGGAATTGAAAATTAGAATTTGAGATCTTTAACGTCAACTATCAATGTTCTAACTTTGACGAGAATGCTCCATTTGTAAAATTCATATATATATATATATATATATATATATATATAACTTAATAGACACGAAAATAAAATATAAAAATGATACAATTTAAAATTTTATCAACTTTATCATCATGACGAAGTTTCACAAATGTAAATTTTTCACAACTTATAATCACTAATTTTTCACAACTTATAATCACTACTTGTTTCTATTAAAATTCAATCATGAAATGTGCACAAACACTATCAATCATGAGTTATGAAAAATAGCATTAGTCATTTACTAAAAAGGGTAAATAGTAAAACCTAAAAACCATTAAAACCTTTGAGAAAAGCTAAAAGTAAACACCTACTGGTACCTATTAATCATGAATTGGTGAGAACATATAGTGTTAGATCCAAGAGTAATCCTATCTATGATCCTAATATATAATCACTCCCATCAAATATCTCCTATCTGTCAACCATTAATCATGTTAAGTTGATTCAACCAAATTATAATCAGAATCCTAGCCTCCTGTATATTGTCTCTATAATATATGGTGATGCTAATGGAAGATTTCTGTGCTTGATGAATATGGTTGATGGGTAAGAAATACTTTTCTTTTTTTGTAAGATTGTAAAATGGGAGTGAAATAAGATGGATCTTCTCTTGAAAAAGACAGAGATCATCTTTGGCTGAAATAATAGAGTATTCCATTTTCTCCTTCTGATCTAACCTTGAAATTTTCTGACTTGCTTGAGCTTTTCTTGTGATCAGAACCATTCTTGGTCGCAGAATTTGACACCCGCAACGCACTCTTTAACCCTTTAATCAACCTCTGCCCAATAATTTTCTTGATTCTAGGATTGTGAATGCATGAATTCTCGGATGATGAAGACCCACATGCTTTCTCTTCTGGACCACTAGTCAATCGAAGACTGGCTGAAGCAGGAGCTCCTCTATCTGCTCTTTCAATCTTACTCCGTGAACCATAATGGAAACTAGCTGACCTGCCTAATTTCAACACATCTCTAGACCCAGCTATTCCTTCATTCTGATCATCAGATTCTTGCAAGATCTTCTTCATGGAAAGCAGTTGTTTTTCCAGGGTTTGGATGCGGGTACTCGTGGCATCCATTGCTGCCTTGAGTTGAGCAGTTTCACGCATGGTGGCATCGCGTTGGAGGATTTCACCAAGTGTGATTTTGTTGCCTCTAGGCCGATGCCTATGAGAATAATGGTGATTAGCAGCTGAGAAAATGGAACGCCGGGTATTGAGTTGTTCCACCAACATGACTCGGACAACGAATCGCAAGGGCATTCGAGGGTTTTGCACTGCATGTAGGAGGAGTTGAGGTGAGAGCTTGTTGCAGTCAATGGAATTACATATCTGAGTCTTCTGTTCCTCCGTTATCTTCCCATTGTGCTCCTGTCCAAACAACAAATTTTTCTTCCAATCAATGATAGAGTAATATTCTTATTAATTTATTTTACTATTTCGTAATTAATTTTATTTGTTCATCTTAATATTCAAAATCAAACATATACCATATAAAATTTCAAGCTTTAACCATTCAAATGTCACAAGTTAATATAACAATTACCATAGTAATCACTAAGCTTGCAAAGTTTTTAGATTTTATTATCGTTAATCTTAACCATCACAAATAGATACCAAACAAATAGCTGGTCCTGCCTATATATAAAATCTTAAATAAATTCATGTACAAATTTTATTCATCCCTAGACTTCACCTAATTTTCTAAATGCACCTATTAAAAAAATGTGCACATAAAGAACTTGGTTGGGTGCATAAACATTCTCATAAATATTACTAGTACTAGTGTTTTGGTACAAAAAAACCCTACCTAATCCGAAGATTAAAAAAAATTGCATACGTTGAAAATTTAAAATTTAAATTTGTTGTATTTTAATTTTTAAAAATAATTATATAAATTAATTGAATTAAAATTAAAATTTAATATTAATATTAATTATTAATACTGTTGGTATTAGTAAATTATTATTTAAATCATAATTTTAAATTTTTTAAAAGAATTAAAATTTTTATTATGATACGTGTTAGTTTGAGATAAATAAAATTATTATAATATCCTTACCTCGAAATAAAAATCAACGATTTTATAAAGCAAATCGTGGTACTCAAATTGTTGGTGCATAGACTCGGCCACGATTTTAAAATCCTCGGCGCGCAAAGAAATAACGTCGTCAAAATAACCGTCCACACCGTCACCATCTTCCGTTAAATTCATAATCTCCACATATCTACTAACCAGAAACGCCGTTGTTTCTGCCTCCGGAAGCAACGCCAAGCAAGACCTGAAAACAATCGTCGCGTACTCTTTGTTGACGGTGACGAATCCGCTGAAGTAACTCTCCGTCAATTGCTTCAAGTTCTGATCACCGTCACCTTTGGTCTCTGTCATTCCGAGGAGTTCCGCTGCTAACAAGAGGGAGGCAACATTGAAAGGGGTTACGAGGAGGTGGGTCCCGTAACAGAATTCGGCAACGAGAGCGAACGTTTCGACCGTTATGTTAAACGGCGGGGATAACGTTAATTCTGATTGTTCCATTAGTTGCCGCCCTAAATATGTGCTCCTGGACGTCAGAGGATCCTGCGAAGAAAAAAAAATTAGGCCGAAGGGAACCCATAATCATTCATCAACTGTTAAACGCACCGTTTAGATCTTTATGTCGTTAACATTAAATACCGTGCCCTTTAATTTTGCATCAAATGGAATTAATAGGAAAATGACATCATTTGACAAACAGGAAATGAGTTGTTGTTGCACACATTGTGAAATTAATATTCTTGAAATAAATTGATAAATTTCTAATAAACACTAAACCCAAGAAAAAAAAAAACACATTTCGGATCAAACTTTGGTCACCCAGCAGATCAAGCATTGTTGTAATTAAACTTGTTGATTAATCAACATACCTTATGAAGGTGAAAAGCAGTTCCTTGGACATGTATCAACACATCAGTTTTACGCCCCATTGCCAATGACCTTATAATATACAATACCCAGAAATAAAATAAGATTAAAACTTACAAAATAAGTATCAAAATTTAAAAAAAAAAAAAGGAAAAAGAAATAATTTAACTACATAATATATATACCAAGCCTCTACTCTTGAATGGAGTGGTGTAAGAGGAGAAGAAAGAACTGAAGGAGAAAGAACAGAAGGAGAGGTGGAACAGTTCTCATCATAATCTTCTTCTTCATAGATGGTTTCTACTACTCCTAGATTTCCCCAAGGCTTCATGTTTTGTGTTGATCTCTTTTCAGATTTTCTTTGAAGAATTTTATCAAAGAAGTTTTTTTTTTTCTTTGGGTGTGATTGTCAATGTTTTATTGCTGTTATTGTCACTGGCACTAGTCACTAGGTTTTGGGGGATGGAGGGTGAGGAAATCCTTTGCTGGTAGGGATATTAATGGTTGCATGTGATGGCTCATAAATGCTGGCTTTTATAACCCATTGCTTGAAATCAAAATATTTTGGATTCTGATTCAAATTCTCTTGGCTAGATGGTATTGGAAATTTGATTTTGCTTGTTACCTCATTTCATTTGAAGGAAGGAAAATCTATTAGATTTTTGCAGCTACCAATCAGCATAACCCATTTTGTCAATTTGTTTACACTAAGGCCAGTTTCTTCCAAATCCTGATGGTTGAAAATTGACAAGTGTTGGGAGCTAAGCTAAGCTAGCTATTTGCTCATTGCCATGTTAGCACCTGATTTTCAGTGAATTATTTGCCAATATATCGGGGGGAAAGAATCAATCATAGATTTCAAAAAGCACCTTAAAATTTTATTACCAAGAAAGATAAATCAAGGATAATGGGGAAGGGTGTGGATAGGGGTCTAGCATCTCCGTTGAGTATAAAAAAGCCAAAATCCTCTCTTACAATTGCATTTAGTAATTGGGCCTTTTGGGGTATTGTTTTCCATCAAAGCGCTAACTAGAGTAGTGTTTTTTTTTTTTTTATAATTCATAGTATTTGCCTATAACTAGTAACAAGAGTATTTTGTGCATTGTTTAGAAACTATGAGGTTTAAGCTTAAATTGAAGTAACTTTTTTTTATAATGCAATCTGGAATATCTTCATATTTTATGTGAAACTAACACCCTCTACGAAGAATAATCTTGAAGACTCAATCTCTCGTATTTATAAACATCAAACTAGTTTGACAAAAAAATATTTATTTTCTTATCAACTGAACTAATCCTTATGAGTTCAAATTGCAATAAGTTAAAACACTGTTGCCAATTTCATCTGGATTTAGCATACCCTTTTTATTTAGTACAAAACTTTTTTTTTCTTTTTTTTTTTGAAGAAACATTTGGCGTATAAATGACCATAAGAAATTTTTTTTTTTTTTTGGGTGGAAAAACTAGTTAAAGGCTCAACAGTAAAAATGGGCTTGAGATAGAAAGTTTCCCATGTGTTGGTTATAAAGTCCATCCAACATGAGCAGTGCCACTGAATTTCAGTTTACCCAATGAAGCTTTTTAATTGCCCATGAGCACTATTGATTGAAGCATTAGGCCCATCTAGGACAGTTAGTACTCTTTAGCCCATAAAGCCAACAAATCCAAAAAGTAACCCTAGTTCATGCCTACGCTTCCACCATATAGTTTCTCAAAACCCTGCTTCCCCTCTTTCTCCATTGGCCGTCGCGGAGTAGAAGAGGAACCAATCCCTACCCGCACACCAGGCAAAAATGAAGTACAACCCACGAGTCTCTTCCTCTCGCCGCAAGAACCGGAAGGCCCATTTCTCGGCACCTTCGTCTCTCCGCCGCGTGTTAATGAGCGCACCGCTATCATCTGATCTGAGGTCCAAGTACAATGTCCGGTCCATGCCTGTCCGCAAGGACGACGAGGTCCAAGTTGTTCGTGGTACCTACAAAGGCCGCGAAGGGAAGGTGGTACAAGTTTACCGTCGCAAATGGGTGATCCATATCGAGCGCATCACTCGCGAGAAAGTGAACGGTTCGACCGTGAACGTTGGAATCAACCCATCCAAGGTTGTCATCACCAAGCTGAGGCTCGACAAGGATAGGAAGTCGTTGCTGGATCGTAAGGCTAAGGGTCGTGCTGCTGCTGATAAGGATAAGGGTACTAAGTTCTCTGCTGAGGATATCATGCAGAGTGTCGATTAAGGTTGTCTTTTGTTTCTTTTATTGTTATGATATGTTTTGTTATGTTACTATTTAGGGAATTTGCAACTGTCGAACTTTATTTTTATGGTTTCTTTTTTAATGTTATCAATCCGTAATACAATGAGGAACCTGGGATTTTGTTGACTTTGCTATTGCTATATGTAGCAATTTTTGTTATGATGAGTTCCATTGTATGTGTGTATGTTTTTGGTTTTTGCTGTATTTTTTATGAGCTCTAGTATTTCTTTGATGGGTTAGGCTCTGATGGTTTAATTTTCCTTTTAATTGGTGGATGTTATTGAGGAATCTTCAATATTGGTCTAGTTTCATAGTCATGAATCTTGGATAAATGCATGGAATAGCTAAGGCAAAGCATCTTTTGAATTTATCATAATCTAGAATCAAAAAACAATTCACTCTCTGGTTTATGAGAAACCTTTGCCATCCAATTTGCAGGTTATTGGTAAAGGACATGATCCGGAAATTCAACCAAAGCTATTTTCTTGTTGGGATCAAGTTTTTATGTATTCTTCTGCTATAGGAAATATGAATTATGGATTTATACAACCGAAGCTAATGTCTCTTTAAACTTTTTTTTTTTTTGGTTTGTCTAAAAAATATGAATGGTTTGATGACATTGCAATATACGTTTAAACCATAGAAATATAACTAAGTTAACTATGCTCGCTGGGAAGCAAGAAGCTAATCTGAGCTTGCAACGGGAGGGACGAAAAAAGATACGTAGGAATGAAGCAATTATTTTTCTATTTAAATGACAATTGTGAATACGACTACATGTCGGGACCGATGCCTGATTGCCAGACTTGAAACTTGAAAGCCATCGTTTCTTAGGATCTGGGCATTTGCCATAAGCTTGACAAAGTTGGAGCATTTGCCATAAGCTTAAAGTTTTGAAAGAGTTGGAGCCTTGGTTGAACTTAAAATTAGATTTAATAATAACAATCTAAAATATAATTAAATGCAAAACATAATACGAAAATAAGACAAAATTAATATAATTTAAAATTATTGCAATAACTATATATAAATTTTAAAAAAAAATTTATATTTTTATATTTTTGTATAAAATATGATATGAATATATAAATTTTAATATTTTATAAGATACGAATTCATAAACCATCAGATCAATTTAAAGTAAGGCAACTGGAATAAATAAACTTTCGTGGATTACTCAAAATAGCAAATGAAGACACTTGAAAAGCTTTTAACCAATTAAAAGGAACGCCTCAATAAAACAAGGTTTAAATTTACCATTTTCAAAATGGCGCAAAACTTACATATTGAATCATGGAAAGCCTAAAGTATCAATCATCAATCCACAGTCACTGAGAACCTAGAAATGAATACCAATCATCTGTGGAGCTACTTATTGACACCCCTTTTCAATAACCACAAAAGAATTTTAAAGGTATCAAATCCCGAAAGCATCATTGAATAGCTAAGAACCGATTAAGGTTTCAGAGCAAGAGCCAATCCAAAGCGGGGGCTTTTGTCCAAGGCCTTGGTGTCAAGCTCACCAGAGATTGTGAGCAATGACTTTGGTATGACTTCATGCTGCAGCAGTGCTCCAAGCCTCCCATGATTGTTGAGCTTAGCTTTAATCAGCGTGAGATGGTCAACAGCATAGGCCCCTCCAACAGTAAATGTGTTCTCGTTTGTGGAAAACCTTCTGCTGATCTCACCCACAGCAGCACTCTTCTTCAGCTGATCCAGATAATGCACATATGATACTTTTATGCTGTCTCCCTTGTCTCCCCTAAAAGTAAAAAGAAAGAAATTAGGGACAAAAGATTGGAAAGTTGTTGCTTCTATTCAATTTTAAAATCAAGCTTTGTAATATATGGTAGAGTACAAAAGCTTACAGAATTATTGAAGCACATGAATCTGGTTTTGTCACACTAATACCAGCAGTGTACTTAGTAAAATTGCCTGAGGTGGTATCATAACCTGCCTCTGCACCAAAAGCGATAGCGGACGTGCCAATGGTTGCTGTGACATCAACACCTGGTGTCTGGTTCAAACCAATTGTTGTTGTAAAGGTTGCATGGTCATGGAAATACTGAACCTCCAACTGCAAAATATAGAGCAGATAGAAACTTTTAAACATAAAAAATCCTCACGACAAGCATTCCTGCTTAGGAGTGGCAACTTCCTACCTTGCCAGAGTTATAATCAGGCACTTTGAATGATGCAATGGTCTTAGTGGACGGAAGAATCTCAGTGAATGTAAGTGTCGTTGAGATCTGCCCAAACAATGTAAAAGAATACGATGCTCAGCTAGATAAAGCTACTTATTATTCAACAGTTTCCTAAGAAAGGAAGTAAGAACCCACGTTAGAATCAGTATCGACTTTGACATCAAATTGAGTGTTCTTGTACTTGTATAGTGCAGCAATATCCCCAGTAGAAAGTCCTCCTTTCTTTAGTGCAGTTGATGTAAGGGCCTGAATAGAAGGGGACAAAAAATGAATAATTAGCACAATGAAGACCTGTCAAAACTTTAATTTATAAGGATCTAGCTTAACATACACTACATGAAGGTTCATTAATCTTGGTAGACCACATCAAATTTCAAACCACCCGCCTTTCAACAATAAAAAGTAATAATTAAAAAAAAAAACTTGAGAAGGAGAAACTATAGCATGAGATTAAATTGACATCCAAACCACCCGCCTTTCAACAATGAAAAGTAGTAATTTAGGAAAAAAAAAAAAACACTTGAGAAGGAGAAGCGCATAACATGAGATGAAATTGCCTCTTATATCAACTCCTTTTGAATCAAAACAAGTGGTAACACAAAACATTTATTTAGATGAAACCAGTCCCGTCTGGAGTTAAGACAGCTTCATCCAACAACACTTTGAGAATAAGTACAAAAATATACATAAATTCAAAGTAACAATTACTATCACAATCTTCATGTTCAAAGATAAATCATAAATCCGATTCATAAGAAATTCAGGGAAATCACCCCTAAGATAAAGAATTCTCTTCAATTAAAAAATAATAATAAAGAAAGGACAAGAATCTTGATTTCTCAAATGCCTCCAGATTTTTGGCTATTTGAAGAAATTTAAACAAGAAGTGACATACATATCTACTAAAGCCACAAACTCTTTACACTTGCATTAATCGAAACATCTTATTGCAGGGACTCCAAAATCAGTTGATAAAAGATCTAAGCGAGCAAATCAGCATTTCATTATAGAATAACCTATCAAGCCCTAACTACCATACAAACGTTAATTAAAATTCAAGGTGTAAAAGAAACAATTTTGGCATACCACTCCAGCACCGGTGTAAGTGGAAACTGTAAACTTCTGATCCGAGGTATAATCTCTTGTCAAGAGATCTAAGCATTAAAAAAAAAGAGATAATTAAAAAATAAACAGATGAATTTCCATTATTAAACGTAAAGAAGAAATTTCGAGAGTTGGTCGAAAGATCGAACGGTGGAGAGGGAAATAGATGAAGGATTTGATTTACCTTTGGCTTTCTTGCCGATATCGACGAAGAGTCCTGGTCCCTTACTCATGGCAGTAAAATCACCGGGAAAAGATCTGAGAAATTGGGAGAGAAAAAAAAATGGTGAAACAGAATCGTAGGACGGAGGGTTTTTTTTTTTTGAAGTGGTGGAGACGACCACGAAAATGCCTAAAAAATTATTTTTAAGAGTGACGATCAGGTGTGGCCGTTCTGGAAGTGGCGTGTTCTTGACCGTTTGATTTGATTGAAATTATGATCAGAATTATGGGTATTGTACTAGCTTTATTTTTTAATGAAAAAGGCTTGATATGGTGAAAAGTAATGATATTTATGAACTATAATTAAGTAAGCTTTCATTTTATTGTTAGTAGAATTAATATTAAGCAAAAGGAAAGTAGGTATGTTTATTGGATCGGTTCAGTTAATTTTGAATTGAATTAATTAAATTATTTTATTTTATTTTTATTAATTAAATTAATTTTTTAATTTTAAAAATTAATCAATTGAAATTAATTGGATTAATTCAATTAATTTTTTGATTAATTGAATTATAAAATATATTATATTATATTATATTTTAAATTTGTGTTTTTTTATATGTGAAATAAATTAAATAAAATTATTCAATAAAAATATTCAAATATTAAAATATTATGTTAAAAACTTTAATAACTTAAAATGAAATAGATAATTTTATATATTTTTAGTTATATATATTTTTTATAATATTTTGATTAAAATTTTAATTAATTTAATTTAAAATACTAATTAATCGAAAATAAAATTTTTTAAAAATTATTATTGATAATTTATCTAAAATAATTTAATAATCAATTAATTAATTTAATTAATTCTATTTATTATTTAATTATTTAATTCGATTAAAATTAAATTATAAACACAAAAGAAGTCAAAGACAATTCCGTATGGAGTTGGATGGTGGTCCGTGGATTCATGGCGTTGCAAACTACCAACTACCAGGATATATGGATCATCGGCATTGGCTACTTTGAAATTGGACCTTGATGGCTAAATCATTCAGAGACCCAAGCCTAGCTGGGCCTGGTTGTGTGAATTATTTGTTTTTTTCTATTCAGAGCCAGGATTTATGGGGATAATAATAATAACGTAATGTTTATGCCTGCAACTGGCATTAAACAAAGTGATTTAGCAATCTAAAAGTTGGTTGTCTTCACGTGCAAGAACTGATGTTTAAGATCGTATCATTTTGAATTTTGATTATTAAAATTAAAATTTAATATTTATTAATAAAGTAAATTTTATCTAAATCCTCAAAATTTTTAGCTAACTTCAATATAAATAAGTCCATTAGTATAAGAAATAGATAACTTGCTCCAAACATTTCAAAGAAATAAGACAAATAAGTCCTGTCATTAGTTTTCCGTTAACTAATTTGTTAAGATCTTAAAATTGAGACCATTTTACGCTTGAATACTCAATATATTTGTTTACCAACAACCCAACAGATGAAGATGCTAAAATTACAAAATTGAATAGCTGTTGTAAAGATATAAGAATCTATTAGGTTGAAAATGTGTGATGATTCTAATTTTTTTCTTGGTTTTTTTTTCTTATGTAGACAAATGAATATGTTAAAGCTACATGTTGTTTTGCTTTGTTCTAGCACCCCTTTTCAGCTTTTCTTGCTTTTTAGGATAATCCCAATTAGGTATTACGACGAGATGAGAAAGCATAGCCTCAAGATTGACATTTATCTGAGCCAATGATGGTCTAGTACCAATATAATTGTAAGGTTGGTAGTCTGCTAGTGGTGTTTTTGTAGTATGGGGATTCTGTCCATAAAGATGTATGGATCCATATGGGTACAATGGTTTTTTAACAGCAACTTCTTCATTTGCCCTAGATGTTTCAATAATTTTCTTTTCTTTTGAGAGCCCTGACAATATATGTTTTAAGTCTATTAATTGTCTTTCAATATCTTGTTGTATTTCCACAACTTTTCCCCTCATATACTCTTGAGCCTATTCAATCAATTCTATTTCAGTCCTTTAATCTTTCATATTGTAAACAAAACTAAACAAGCTAAAAAGATGTAGCAAGAAATTAGCACCACTGAACCCTTATGCATGAGTGATGCCAAAACATTATTAAGATTCATGATGCTTGGATGATGAACATTTGCATACATACAATATTTAAGTAACAAAAACTATACCACCTATGTAAATGTGTATGTAACGGGTCACAACATCATATTACAATGGTGGTGAGATGTATTCACGTAAAATGCAATCTATACAATGTGCATTTTATAGAATCATATCATTCATGAAATATGCATGCATGAAATACAATGACATACTACATGAGTAATGAGAGGCATGTATGTGATCAATGAAACATACTTATATAAAATACACTAACATATTTTATGCATGAGGTACAAAGCATGTACAATGCAAATCCAATGAAAATGACACGAACATTTGGGTATGAGATGAAGTGCATCTTTTACTTTTTATTTTTAAATGCAAAACACAATAAAAATAACCACAAAATGATTAAATGAACTGTAAGGGATAAAATTCAAAACCATAAAATGATTAAATGCACTGCAAATGATAAGATTCAAAATCACAACTCTCTCCTTATTATTATTTTTTTTTTTGTAAATTCCTACAAATGCAAATCTTAAACAAACATTAAACTAATCAAATAATATGCCTCAAAGAAAATCTATTAGATGGATATTTTTATCTTTTTTATCTTTTCATCTTTTCATTTTATTCTTCTTCTACATACTACTCACTAACAGAAGGTTCTATTCGTGACTTTTGAAATTCCTTAAAAATCTCATTGATAGACTATCTAAGATGAATGTTTTTTATGCTTTATATAAAAATTATGCATGTAACAAACTCAAGAAAACAAGAAAAACTTTAAAAAATTAATAAAGAAAGACTTTTAAATGCAATGTGAAAAAGTAAATTAATGTTTTTTTTCTTCTTTTCTTTTAATTTTTTGTAAGGCGCACCAGATAATTTGATCAGTTTTAAAACTTCTCTTTAAAAAAAAAAAAGATCTGGGAACACAAAATAAATACAGAATAACTTGATTCTAAATTCAAAAGAAAATTTTAGTTAAAATAAAAGGAGTAAAATCTTTATTTGTCTTCATGCTTTTGATTTTTATTAGTCAAACAAATAAATTAAAAAAACCTTTTTCTTTTTTTTTTTTTCACATTTTTTGGTTTTGCTTTTTTTAAAAGAAAAATAATAATAACACTAATAATTCACAAAAAAATTTCTTATAGAAAAACAAACACATAAGATTACCAATACTTAAAGAAAATTTTCTCTTTTTTTTTATGCTTTTGTTTTTTATTCAGTTAATAAACAAAGAAATAATAAAAAATCTTTTTTAAAATTTATTTTTACATTTTTGTTTGTTGAAAAAAACTTTAAAAAGTCTTTTTTTAAAATATTTTTTAAAGATGCAAATTTTGAATAAGCACTAGTTAAATATAACTATATGTCAATTTATTAAATGAATATTTTTCTTTTATTTCTCCTTATTTCTTATTTTTTACATTATTTTAGTCATACTTACACTATTCTTACACCTAAATATATATTATATTAGAATGTTCCTCTCATGCCCTAATCCAAGTAATTCTACGAAATGGTCAGCATGATTTTACATAGGGTTGGCCCTTATAATTTATTATAAGCTTGGTTCATATTTAACCATGTCTAAAAGTTTCTCAAATTGTTCCTCACTATCGCTTATGCTGGAATAGTAATATACTTCGATTTTTCACCCATTACAAGTTACGAATGAAAATAGTTCAATTTAAGTGAAAGTATCTCACTTGACATTGTGAAAGTTATCATATCATAAGAGCATAGGTACTTTACCTTCTCTTGTAAGAGATGGAGCTTGGATATAAAACTTATGCATAAAGTGCAACATGTCATCGTGTGCACAAATGTCTCCTAATTTATTGAGGATAATGTATACAAAAAAATAAAATTAAAAATGAACAAAAAGCATAGTAAAAAATGTGTATGAAATTCTTTTTGTTTTCAATTTGTTTTTATTTTTTATTAGTTTTTTATAAAATAAAATCAAAAAAATTATAATCAAATACCGATTAAAACTGTTTAAATCAAAATTGAGAATAACATGTAATTAATTTTTGGCCTGACTCTCGAAAAAAATGACTTTCCCAGTGGAGTTGCCAAACTGTTGTAACGATTTTGGAACCGTCCGATCAATTAGAAAACAAAAAGGAAAAAAACAGGAATTGCCACCAAATTTTTTTGTTAGGTGTAATTGGCCACCTATTAAAACATATCATTTTAATAAAATCTTAAAATTACTTAAATTTACTAAAAATATAATTTTAAGCCTTATGAAACAGTTTGACTTTGAGAGTCGATTACACGTAGGAAAAGATTAGCACCCTCACAGCACTCGTTTACAACGGTATCAATTAATTATATATCATCTTTAATTTTGACAAAAATGATCTTAGTTTCAGTGTTTAAAAATAATTTTTTGATTTCTTTTAGTTATTGTAATTTTAGTTTTTTTATTATTAATTATCATTTTATTTTTTATTCGAGAAAAATAAATTAAAATTTTTATTGGAGTAATTCTTAAAATATTCTAGTACGTTGGTAACAATGAAAAAATTTTCTCACTTAGAGATTTTTTAGGCATTACTTATCGGAATACCTTAGACTCTCATCCTTAGGGGTTTATATTTACTTTTCGTAAAAAATAAAATCATGCATGCAATGCGAATGATAATATTGATGCACACATTTTATTTTTCTTTAAAAATTGTATTTATTATTATTTTTGTTTTGAAAAAAAAAGGAATTTTATTATATTGAATTTTTTTTTTATAAATACTCCATTGCACTAGTAGTATTTTAAAAAAATCTTCTCACATAGAGAATTTTAAAGCATCACTATTCAAAATACCTTAAAGTTCCATCATCGTGCAAAAATTTTATTTTCGTTCATTTTTTTTTATAATTTAGTTTATTTTATTTTATTTAATGATTTTTAGTTAATCTTTATTTCATTTCATAAAAAAGAAAAAATTTATTGTATTAAAAATTTTTTATAAATACTCAAATGCGTTGGTAGTATTTAAAAAAAATCTTCTTGCATAAAGATTTCGTAGACTTCATTACTTAGAATACCTTAAAATCTCATCATTGGGTAAAAATTTCTTTTCTTATATTTTTTTTATTATTTTCTTATTTTTTCAAATTTAAAAAATATCAAAATTAGAAATCATTTTTATTTTTATTATTGTTAGTATTATTATATTATTTTATAAAGTTCATTTTAATTTTTTAATAGAATTATAAAAAATTTAGACTATATTTTTCATTATTTATTGTTATTTATCTTTTTGTTTTCATTTTTATTAATTATTATTATAAAAACAACAAATATCCTTTCTAACAAATTTAAAGTTTAAACATGCATGAAAAACGATAATACAACTCAAAATGACAAAAATAATATAAAAAATAATTCAAAATTTTTTTAAAAAAATTACCTAAATCGGACCGATCATCTGTTCGATTAATGTCAGTCTAGGGTGGTCTAAGCTGATTCAACTAGACCAATCAAGGGCAGTTGAGGAATGCTGAGTCGTGGGTCAGGTTATTTGGATCCAAGGTCAAGTCATGGGCTGACATGCGAATCTTAGGCTCAAAACGATGTCGTTTTGTCCTTTTGGTTTTTACTATAAATGACACATTTTTTTTAAAACTCATTTCTTCCTATTCACCTAAAAAAAAAATTCTTTTTCTCTTTAAAAAATCAGAGGTCGGCCACCCCTTATCCAAAAATCGATCACCATCAATCGTGCTGATCGTCATGCCGGCCATCGTCGCTAGTGATCGAAAATGCCCAAAATTTCACCAAAAACTCCTATTGACACCTTTTTTTACGTTTTCAACCTGTTTTTCCTAAAAATCAACCAACAAGCTTAGATTGACCTTTAAACTTTTCAGTTCCACAAAAAAAAAAAAAACTAAAAATTTACTTTTTTTTAGTTTTTTTTTTTATTTTTATGTTTTATGGCGTTGGGTCCCGTTCTAGGGGACTATGTTTTTTTATTTTAGTTTTGTGTTTCTTTTTTTTTTTTTGGTTTTTTGTGTAAGCGAAATGGGTTCTTTTTTTTTGTTTGACAGAAGCTTTGTTTTTTTTATTGGTAGCTCTTCTTGGTTTCCTTGTTTTGCAGAGATTTTTTTTCTATTTTTTTTAAATTGCTTTTTAGCATATCGTTTTTTATGGTTTTATTTTTCAATATAGTCTCTTTTTTGTAAAGTTTTTTTTTTGTTTGTTGATTTTTTAAGCAAAGTTTCCCCTTTTTTTGGTCATATGAAAGCCTGATTTATATGGCCGGCCTGGGCAGTCAATCCCATGTTTTTTGACTGTAATCCCTACTACCAAAGATATAGCAACAAGCGGTAGGTTATTAGGGCAATTGGTGGCTCAAGGTATGGGTTGATGGTAACGTAGGTAGGTGCGGTTGGAATAATCAATGTCTCAAGGTTTGCCAGTGAAATTGGTGGCCAATGGTGCCATGCACAGCACCCACTACCATCGACCCCCTGTCTTTTTTTATTTTTTTTGTCTTTTTGTTTTTGGTTTAATTAATTTATTATTTATTATTTTATTTAATATTTAATTATTATTATATAAATGATAAAATAAAAATAAAAGTAAAATGAAACTAAAAACAATGGGTTCAGGCCCGAAAAAATGAAATTAGGCCTTGGACCAAGAACCTGATAAACCCGATAAACTTAAGGCTACTCAGTAAAATTGAAGCCCAACTCTGAAAATTCAGATAAAATCGGTGTCTACATTAAATTATTTCAAACTTTAATATGGACAAAATTATATTTTTTTATTTCAAACTTTAAAGCAAACAAACAACTTTATTAAAACGAGAACAATTACAACAGATGAAAGTAGTAATAGATTCCTTAAGCCTTCTTTAAACTATAACAAAAGTCAAATCATAGTATTAAATACCAAATAAAATGAGAAACTTACTAGATGAAATAGAAACAAAATGGATTGAACAAAATAGCCTTAAATAGTGATTTAAAGAAGAGAAAATTAATTTTAACAAAAGTAAAATTAGCTTAAATTCGAAGAACTTTAGATGAAAATGATTGAGAGGATATTCGATTGAAAGAAATTTAAAGAAAAATCTAAATTGAAAAAGACAATTGAAGGAAAAAAAATTGAAAAGAAAAATAACGAATGATAAAACTTGTCAAAAAGCTCATGTTTAATTAGGTTAATATTTAGATAATTTTATAATTGCACAAAATTCATGAATAAAATTAAGAATTTTAAGGTGGATTTTCTATTTTTAATACTACAAGATTTATGTTGAATTTGGCTAAAACTAAAAGATTTACATGAAATTTACTTTTATTAATAAATTATAGACTCGCACATCAAAATTTATATATATTTTTTGGTTAAAAGTTGTGGTTACTAAACATGACTTGCAAAGTCGATAAGTTGGATAGATTTTATCAAAATCCAAGATATTAGTTCATTGGTTTATTCCCGGATATCTTTGACATAACTATTGTACCTCAACAATAAATTATACAGATCAACCACTTCAACTCTTGTTTTATTTACTAATAATTGAAGTTTGAAAGCAAGATTTGGTTATGGGCAGCTTCAAGTTCCACCTTAGCTGTTAAACCCGAAGCCCCCAACCAACTTTTCTTCTGTCGTGTCTTTATTTTATTATATTATTATTATTATTATCAAAATTAAATGTATAAATAATAAATTAATACTCACAAATTATTCAGATTCGATTCGAATAAAATTTAAATTCGATTCGATTATTATCGAGTCGAGTTCGAATTCGAATAATTCGATTTACCGATCGAGTCGAGTTTGAGTATTCTTATACTTGACTTAAATAGTTTACGAGCATAATCAAATTTTTATATTTAAATATATTTTTATTATTTTAATTAATAAAATATTTTAAACTCAAGTTCGAATTCGAACATAAATAATCAAATTTTTATTGAATATAAAAATTAAATTTATTTTTATATGTTAATTGAACTTAATTGAATAAATTCGAATAGCTTAATTTTTATTTTGAGTTGAAATCGAATTAAAAAAATAAAATTTAATTGAATTTAAGTTTTAAATTTTAAATTAAATTTAAATTTAAATTTAATTTTATATCGATTCGAACTCGATCAATTATATTATCATAAAAACGTGATTGATTGAAAAAATTTTTTTTTTCCAAATCGGATGGGATGTTTTAAAAATCAAGCCCCAATGGGTTTTTCTAGAAGTAGTCGTTTATAAAGTTCGAAGGTACGTCAAGTCGAGTGTGCTTTTAACCTCCAACGGTCCAAACTTGAATTCAAGCAGGCCAAGCCTACCTGCTCCCACCCTATATGGTCAAAGACTTCAAAATTTTCTTGGCACATTATTTGATTTCGCCATAAAAAGCACAGTCCGTTAACAATTTGAAATTTTAAAATATGTTATGTTAATATGATATAAATATTATATTAATATAATTAAAAACTTTAAAAATATTTATATATAAATTTAATAAAATTAATAAAATATATTTTATATTAATATAATTATAATATATAATTTGTATATAAAATATAATATAAATATATAAATTTTTATATTTTATATAAAATAAATACATAAATTGGCAGATTTAAGCATCACAACACACGCTTAATTTAAGTGGACCCGACAATGACCATGGCAAAAATCAAGACCAATAATAAATGAATTTTATAAGACGCCATTCACCAAAGAAGAAAGAATGAAATAAAATGAAGAAAAGATCTTTAAAATTGCGTTGAAAAAACGAAGAAACATCAGACTGTGAGTTCCATATTGAATCGACAGTGTCCACTTTTTATTTTCTCAGAAATATTACAAATCATATATATATATAAAATAAATTTTGTAGCTAAATCAAATGATACATCGAAGAAAATATTTCTAATCTAATGCATGCCTAAATTTTATTGCAACTAACAGTTGGATGTCAATAATCTCTTAACGGAATAATTAAAAAAGACTAACGATATATTACAAGACTTGGGTTGGAGTTCAGACAACCTTAATTTTGTCTCCAATATTAAAAAATAAAAACTATGTCTCCAATACATTTAAAAAAAAAGAAAAAAACTAACACTGGGGACAAGTGAGAGGGTAACATTAGGGCTTCATGCTACCCTAGACAGTTAAACGCAAGTCATTATCATGAATATTCTCAAGGACAGGCTGGTTGAATGGGGCACTGTTACTGTCTGTATATTATGTAAGTAAGACAGAGAGTAGGGATTACATATTGTTCAATTGCAAGTACTGCAGGGACATCTGAAAGAGGGTATTGGTTTTTTTTTTTTTTTTCAATTTGGAGAAGAAGATTGTTTGTTGAAAAAATGAGTTCCAATGGGCAGTTAGCAAGTTTCGTCGAAAGATGCTCATAACCCTAACACTAGGATTGGCTTGGAGAGCTTAAATATATTGATTATGGACCGAGAAAAAAAAAAGTATTACAAGTCAGAAGATGTTATGCGTGAACAATCAAAGTTGTAGTTAAAATGAGACTTTTAAAATTAAAGGATGTAACGATTGATCATTATAATTAAAAAATTAAATAAAAATTAAAAGTTAGATAGTCATATATTTAAATGATAAGTATCCAAACAAATATACATAATATTTATGTTTCATTTAAATAAATAATAAAATTGATTTTAATAATATTAAAAATAATAATAATAATTATTATTATTATAATTATGATTAAAATATAAATAATTTTATTAATATTAATATTTAAATTTAATTAATTATATGATTATTTCAATCATATCAAATTAAAAATACGATAAAATTTAAATGTAAACTTAATAGCAGCATATTACTATTTCTTAGATAACGACATTTATTTAAAAAGAATATTCTCACCGCGTGCCAAGAGCGTATAATCCGCGTACGATAAAGTCCCCACCCGCTGCTTTCCTATATTAGAAAAATGAGACAAAAAAATCCGCCTCAGTGGTCGAAACCATCACTTATGGCTTTTATGTTTTTCTTTCTGAGTTCTCAGTCATGGCTTTAAACAAAAGCAAAAAAGGTGAAAAGCCGTCTTCAATTTCAAATTCAGGAAGCTCGAGTCTCAAACGCGTAAGCCGATTAAACCCTTTGACTTAAAGCCCAAGTAACCCGTTCCATGTGTTTCCAAAATAGTAGGAGAAGCCGTGGAGACGAAGACCAGCTCAAACAACTCTACTTTAATGCATCAAACTTCGGATCCTCCGTTTCTAAATCCTAAATAGAGAAACTTTCTTTCCCATTTAAAAAAAAAAAAACTCTCTCTCTCTTTCTGTTCCGTTTTGATTTTTTTATTTCCAGGAAATTATCTCTGAAACCTCCGCCGTTGTTGGTTTAAGTTTCGAATGCGACTCTTTTTATTTTTATTCGGTTTAAGAGGTTTTTTCTTCGTAGTTTTCAGGATATATTTTGCTCTTATATATTTGAATGAAGGTGAGGAAACCGTTTTAGGAACGAAAGAGATTTGAAAAGTTTTGGAAAAAAAGGGATGGAGAGTTATTTGAGTGAGAACTTTGACCTGAAGTCGAAGCACTCGCCGGAGGAAGCTTTGGAAAAATGGAGAAATGTTTGTGGTTTCGTTAAGAATCCGAAACGGCGGTTTCGATTCACTGCCAACCTCTCCAAACGTTACGAGGCTGCTGCTATGCGCCGTACCAATCAGGTCCGTTCAATTTTGAATCCAGTTTCTGATTTAGAAACTGTTGAAATTTCATTTTCAAGTTCTGTTTTTCATTTTTTTTAATGTAGTAAAGGGGTAGCATTTTGTTACTATATTTGTCTATATTTATCAGATTATATTTTGATGTTTACAAAATCGGCAGAAATTTGCTTGAGTTTTAAGGATTTCGAAGCTTTTCAAAAAGAAAGATAGGAAAAATAGAGTGATATATCTATTGATTGCCATTCTATCTTCTCCAAGTTGATTGAACTTATTTCCAATTTTTAGTTTTATTAATTGGTTTCGCGGTTTCAAATTTCCTTTTTATTTTTCCTCTCCTTTGCTATGCTCCCTTGATTAAATATAATAGGATTATGATAATTCAAATTGGCATTTTAGAGCTTCTTTATTTATTTTTTATTCTGATTTGGAACATTGCAGGAAAAGTTGAGAATTGCTGTATTGGTTTCCAAAGCTGCTTTTCAATTTATCTCAGGTGAGATTTTTGCCGCAAATTCAAGTAAAATTTGTTACATTTTATTTCGAAAATTGCCTTTCACCTTACCTGAATCTTCTTTTGCAGGTGTACAACCTAGTGATTATGTTGTTCCTGAAGAAGTCAAGGCTGCTGGTTTTCAACTTTGTGCTGATGAATTAGGATCCATTGTGGAAGGCCATGATGTAAAGAAACTGAAGTTTCATGGTGGAGTGGGTGGTATTGCTGAAAAACTCTCCACATCAACCACCAGTGGACTAACTTCTGATGCTGCTTTGTTGAATAAAAGACAAGAGATTTATGGAATCAATAAGTTTGCTGAGGCTGAAGCCAAGGGATTCTGGGTATTTGTTTGGGAAGCTCTTCAGGACATGACTCTTATGATCCTCGGGGTGTGTGCTTTTGTGTCGTTGATTGTTGGGATAGCGATGGAAGGGTGGCCAAAGGGAGCACATGATGGACTTGGGATTGTTGCAAGTATCTTGTTGGTTGTGTTTGTCACGGCAACAAGTGATTATCGCCAATCTTTACAGTTCAAGGATTTGGACAAGGAGAAAAAGAAAATCACCATTCAGGTAACAAGAAATGAATGTAGGCAGAAAATGTCTATATATGATTTACTTCCAGGTGATATTGTACACCTTAATATTGGCGACCAAGTCCCTGCTGATGGGCTTTTTGTCTCGGGATTTTCTGTGCTAATTGATGAATCAAGTTTAACAGGGGAGAGCGAGCCGGTAGTGGTGAATACTGAAAACCCTTTTATGCTTTCGGGTACTAAGCTTCAAGATGGATCATGCAAGATGATGGTTACTACTGTTGGGATGAGAACACAATGGGGTAAATTGATGGCAACCCTCAGTGAAGGGGGAGATGATGAGACCCCACTGCAGGTGAAATTGAATGGAGTGGCAACCATTATTGGGAAGGTAGGCTTGTTTTTTGCTGTAGTGACTTTTGCTGTGTTGGTGCAAGGACTGTTTACCAGTAAATTGCAAGAAGGGACAGTTTGGAGTTGGTCTGGCGATGAGGCATTGAAAATGCTGGAGTTCTTTGCTGTTGCAGTTACAATTGTTGTTGTCGCAGTTCCAGAGGGTCTACCATTGGCTGTGACTCTGAGCCTTGCTTTTGCCATGAAGAAGATGATGAATGACAAAGCACTAGTTCGACACCTTGCAGCTTGTGAGACTATGGGGTCAGCAACAAGTATTTGTAGCGATAAAACTGGGACACTAACCACTAATCACATGACGGTTGTGAAATCATGCATTTGCACGAGTGTCAAGGAAGTAGGTAACCATAATAAAGCTTCTTTCTGCTCTGAAATTCCAGAGTCTGCTGTGAAGCTTCTACTACAATCAATTTTTACTAACACTGGGGGTGAAATTGTTACTAACAAAGATGGAAAACGTGAGATATTGGGAACACCCACAGAGACTGCTATATTAGAGTTTGGCTTGTCTCTGGGTGGAGATTTCCAAGCAGAACGACAGGCATCAAAACTTGTTAAGGTTGAGCCATTCAACTCTACAAAGAAACGAATGGGAGTGGTGCTAGAGCTTCCTGAAGGAGGGCTACGAGCACACACTAAAGGTGCTTCAGAGATAGTTTTGGCTGGATGCGATAAGGTGATCAATTCAAATGGGGAGGTTGTTCCCCTGGATGAAGAATCCATTAACCATCTTAATGCCACAATTAATCAGTTTGCTAATGAGGCTCTTCGAACCCTTTGTCTTGCCTATGTGGAATTGGAAAATGGTTTCTCCCCTGATAATGCTATTCCAGTTTCTGGGTATACGTGTATAGGAATTGTGGGTATTAAAGATCCTGTTCGCCCTGGTGTCAAACAATCTGTTGCTATTTGTCGTTCTGCTGGGATTACTGTACGAATGGTTACAGGAGACAACATAAACACTGCAAAGGCTATAGCCAGGGAATGTGGAATTCTTACCGATGATGGTATAGCCATTGAAGGTCCAGATTTCAGAGAGAAGAGCGAGGAGGAATTGCTTTCTTTAATTCCTAAGATTCAGGTACTCTCCACATTTTTTTCTCGGCATGAAAACTGTTACCTGTTATGTACTTGTAACAAGGAGAATTCATCTAATTCATATCTAAATTTTCCTTCCTCTTGCAGGTGATGGCTCGATCTTCTCCTATGGACAAGCATACACTGGTAAAGCACTTGCGAACTACATTTGATGAAGTTGTTGCTGTGACTGGTGATGGAACAAATGATGCCCCAGCCTTGCACGAAGCAGATATTGGACTAGCAATGGGCATTGCTGGAACTGAGGTCAGCAATGCATTAATATTTTCACACTGTGCATGCATGTTGTACCCAATCAAATGAAAGAAAATTTCAATCCTAAGAAATTTATATTATAATCATAATAAAAATTATTATGATCTACTGAAGTACATATTCAATGCCATAAGAATGAGTCAGATGGCTATGCATGTTTTCAGTGGAGTGCTAGACATAGCATAGGGTTAAATGAGGAGAAGAGACGAGTTCTTTTGGGTAGCCAGGCTTGAGGAAAGTTGCTTCAACTACAGGAGGGAAGCCAGAATGAATAGTATTATTAATATAAAAATATATTTTAGCTTGAGTTTTAATGTGGCGTTTGCTACTTAATTTGAAAGAATGAAACAATCTTTCATGCACTTGATGTTAGAGTGTTCTAATAGTTAATGTCTTTTGTTAGATGCTAGTAAAATATTTATATGAAGTTATGCTGGATATTAACAATATCAAGATTTAACTAATCTCATTCTCAATTTCAGGTGGCCAAGGAGAGTGCTGATGTCATAATTCTAGATGACAATTTCTCAACAATTGTGACAGTGGCCAAATGGGGCCGCTCAGTATACATAAATATCCAAAAATTTGTACAGTTTCAACTGACAGTCAACATTGTTGCACTGATTGTTAACTTCTCATCAGCATGTTTGACCGGTAAGTTAGGGATACGTTTGTCAACTTCTATTTTAAACTTTTTATTTTTTTAGCTTTCCTTGCGAATGAAAATAATTTTGTTATATTTGCTTATGTTTTTTTGCACCAAATTATACTGCAGGGAGCGCCCCTCTCACAGCTGTTCAGCTATTGTGGGTCAATATGATTATGGATACTTTGGGGGCACTTGCACTTGCAACTGAGCCTCCAACTGATGAACTAATGAAGCGTTCACCAGTTGGAAAGAAAGGAAATTTTATCAGTAATATCATGTGGAGGAATATCTTGGGGCAATCTTTGTATCAGTTGATGGTAATATGGTATCTTCAGGCAAGAGGAAAAGCAATGTTTAATCTCGACAGCCCTGATTCTGACCTGATATTGAACACGCTTATTTTCAATTCATTTGTCTTCTGTCAGGTACCCTTTTATCAAGAACTCCTTGATACTCTTTTAATATATGTTGTCATACACTGAAAGACCTATTTTGTCATGCTAGAGGCAATCAGGAGACAAAAAAATCTATACTGAACTTTGCTACTCGGCCAAAAAGAAAAATTTTTTTGGCTAGGAATTCAGCATTGTTTTTGTTGAAAGGAATACATGCTTGATGTATCATGCTTCTAATTTTAAATTCTTAAGCTTCTGGGATAAGCATAGCCAGCTATCTAAGTTCCATTTTATTTAGTTATCTAGATGATTAACTTTTTTGACTGTCAATGTGTGCATTGTTTAGCCTCAGCACATGATATATCACTAAGGCATGAAGTAAAATTTAAACTTTGTTAAAATCCATGATATTTCCGTTTCTTTACAAAGAATGATTGGTCTTTTCCCACAGGTTTTCAATGAGATCAGCTCCCGTAACATGGAGGAAATCAACGTTTTCAAGGGCATATTAGGTAATTCTGTTTTCGTGGCTGTTCTTTGTTGCACTGCTGTCTTCCAAGTCATCATCATCGAATTTTTGGGTACATTTGCAAGTACAACGCCTCTCACTAGCTCACAGTGGTTCCTAAGCGTGTTCATAGGATTCTTAGGCATGCCAATTGCTGCTGTCATAAAGATGATCCCAGTATGAACCGCAATAATCGTAGATGCTGTTGGCGAATGACTCCAAGAAAGCCTTAATGTCCCTCCTTGCAATATTAGACTAGAATAGCTTTTCTTTGCTTTATTGAAAATGACTGATTTTTCTTGCAATCAAAAAGGTAAATAGAGTTTCCGACCAGGGATCTGCTTGATCAGCATTTAGGTGTGATCAATTTTTTTTTTTTGAAAGACTTTCTGGATTGAATTTTTGTTTATAAGCCGAGTACTAGGTTGCTATATATGTTTTGTAATTCTTGTTCTTAATTTCATTTTCTAATTGACATACAAGTCATGTAAGTATTTCTTCCATATTTTCTAGTAATTGAATATATACCTTATTTGCCTGTGTTAAAATTTTATTTACTTTTTTAACATAAATATATGCGGTGAATCTGGAGATTAGTTCAATTGTTTCATGACATTGTTTTAAAGAAATGATATTCAACAAGCTTGAAAATTAAATTTCAATACTTACGATCTTATATCTTTTTTCTCAACTTTATTTTCGCACGAGAAGTTTCATTACACGGTACCAAATAGCGAGAAATGCCAATATTTTTACCATTTGCAAAAGATTAGAGTTTTATCTCCACATAAGTATAAAGATCTATCTTATGTTCCAATCGTCCAATCCTGGATGGGAATTTATTAGATCATTAAGCTATCATATAACCGTTTCAAACTCATCAGTCTAATCTGCAATTAACCCTGAACTATTATCACTAATTTCTTTTGGTTGAATGTGAAATTTAACTCAATTAGTTTATATAATCAACATTTAATAAATATGAATTTAAAATCTCAACACTTGAAACTTTTCTTTTATTCATAAGCTATGGCTTCTTTTGTATGAAAAAAAACTCCTTTTGGTAACTTCATTGCTTCCATCAGTGCAAAGTTGAGAATGATATACTCAAAAGGTATTAGTTTCTGCTAAAAATTCATATGATACCATTGTGACAAGAACAAGATGACTCTTGCATTAGATCAGTAAGCATTTTGGAACCTAACAATTTGGTTCTTTTATGTTGTTTTTAAAGTTGGGAATTTAGTTTTAACAAAAGATCCCCGTCTATTCTTCCATCTCTGAAAACCTGCCACTTTCATAAACATGATACAACCAAACAGGTTCAAGCAATGCCGTGGCACTATTTAATTTATGGCTTTCATTTTCATCACCTTGTTCTTCGATCTCTCTCACTATACGAGGATAGATGTCTAGCAGAGAAACCAACATCATGTCAAGCCCACTCCACTCTTTGTCTTCTTGTCCGATTAACTTCAGACAAACAAAGCGTAGCAATCCAAGTAGCAGACCAAAGTCCTTCCGTTCTAGCCCTACAACTGAGCTAGCCAAGAAAATCACGCCAACTGCATCCAGTATGCTGCGATTTCCCTTTAGCAATGAAATGATCACTCCCATGAGTTTCTTAAACTCGGGGAATTCGGGTTCAGAAACTCTATCATCCTCTTCTGGATCACCTTCACTCATTTCAGCGAGCTCAATCTTTGCCAAAATTAGGAGCCATGATGGAAAATGGAGCTTAATGTGATTCAATGCAGTCAAATATGACCTCTCTAGACTCTGCTCAAGCATGATTGTAGAACCTAGTGCCAGAACCAAATCAGGTAACCAAGGCTTCGCTACTGCAACAAGTCGTGCTGCATAATTAGAGCCCAAAAACAATTCATTTGAGATGATCAGATCAAGCAAGTCACCCGCAAGACCAAACGACTCCACCGGTGCTGGTAAAGCTTCTGTGGCAGCATTAAGCACTAGATTGAGTAACTTGGTTGCATAGCTAAAGGAGCTCTTCACGCATATAATAAATTCCTTTGACTTCTCTTCCTTAAACTGTGCTATATCTGTAGATAGCAGCCTTAAGGAAGAGATGATGTACTGCATATATGCCGATGTAAACTTCAAGCACCTCCTATGGTTTCGAGAAGCAAAACCCATTGCAATAGAATCAACGATAAACTTGAGAACCATCGTAAGCATCTTCACCTTCTTTGATGTCCGTTTTTGTTTGGTGTAGACAGATCCTACATGAATATAAAAAGTAGTAACATATATAAGAATAATAAGCGTAAGCATGTGTTTATTTATAACACAATCAGAAGCAGGTGGTAAAAATCATAATCTATTCTCTTTACTGTCATTGTTCTTCCAAAAAATCCATTCATAAATCTGGGATGCCAATTCAAACCACCCGTGGAACAAGGAACCGCAATGAGACCTCGAGAAAATGATATTAGTACAAGGGGTCTCTCCTAATCTTGACTTTTGGCGTTAAGAAGTGATTGAAGTCTTTTTTTATTATTATTGAGTAACACTTCGGGGATTTTTTAGTAGAGAAATGTTAGATTTAGACCTTTCGAAATTACTAGTGGATTTCATTCCCGAACAATGTACTTGATTTGTAAACTCAAATCTAAATCCAACCCCATATATACAGGTTCCCAAATGGAATATTGTTGGTTTAGAAACGTTTAAACTTAGTGTTAAAGCACTTTTTGCTATATCCACGCTAAATAGTTCCGTTTGAATGCATATGCACACGCCTTTTGATAATCTGTGCATATGCCTTCTTCCTCATCACTTACCATCACTACTAGAGCTAGAGACATCTGTTTGAGGTTCCCTCCTTTTCTGCCCAGGACGTGTGACCCTCTTGCTGTTGTCCTGCTTAGGTTCTGTAGGTGATTTTCCATTCTTTCCTGAGTCACCTGCTTCAAAGAGCTTATCTGTACAATTAAGCAGGTGATCCATTACCTGGTCTAGCATGGTCTGTCAGAAGATTAAAAAAAAAAGCGCAAAACAGTTAGCAAATCAGTGACCAAATTTTACTTAGAACCACAATAAAGTTAAAATAAAAAAGAGAAAATTTCCAGCGGAGAATATCAAAGAGAAATTGATGGTTGCAGTTTCAAATATTTATTGCTACTAACAAACTTCAGCCAGGTCAAAGTCACAATGTAACCTGATTTACCAGGATCAATGCAAATAAACAATGAAAAGGAATCCTCTAGTTAATTTTGAGTTTTGACCAATCCTACTCCAAAAAGAATTGGTAATCACCAGCTACAACTCTGTAATGCAAATGATAGCTAGAAAGGAAGTTTAAAATAAGCATTGAAGTTTAAGAAAAGTGAAAAGCATATCTTGCCTCTGAAATTGATCCTGAAGAGTCAACACAATCATCCTTCTTCGAATCATAATCGGTTCCATTACTAATGGTAACATTTTGCAGGGCCATCTGCAGAGCAAGAGCTGTGTATGCCGACACTGGATATGGATCCATGTATTCGTAATACTCACACTGCACAATGCTGACCTCAGAGATAACCTTGAGAGCAAGGAATGGCAGTTCCAAAATTTGAGAACCCAACATTGCTTTCCGAGTGTCCTCAGAAGAAAGCATATCTTTTATCTGCCATGATACTCCAATAGCAACCGAATAATCATCCTCGAAATTGGATGACTTTTTCCCACTAACATGTTTCCATTTAACAGAACTTTTTGTTGAAGACTTCGACCTCTTTCTTTTTGCAGGAGAAACATTTTGTTTTGGTGCTTCAGTGTCAAATTTAATATGGCAGCGATAGGCAGTTTTCTGCAAAAGCTTTGTTAGAGCCTCAAACATATTATCAAAGGCATCACATGACATCAATAATTTGTGGGCAGACCTCACTTCAGTTTGCTTTTCTAAATTTTCAGATAAATCACTACAATCAGTGACTAAGCCCATGCAATCTCCAAGGAGCCCAGCTACATTATCTGAAGCCGTGGTGGATAAAATGTCAAAAACAGAAGACTTAGCATGTGCAGTAGGTGCAACAGCAAATAAACTCTTGACCCTTTCACCAGAAAACAACTCTTTAAGGGCATCCTGCTGACTTCGCTCATTTGCAAGGCTGCTGCAAAGGTTGGCTAAGGCAACCAGTAAACCCTCAACCTGAGCTGCATCCAGTTTAGCATTCGACAATAATAAGCTGATGAAAACCTTGACCAGTTCCATAAGAGATTTAAGAGATGCTCCTTCCAATAAAGCAAATTCACAAAACCTTGCTCCAGCTAGTGGAGACCTTTTCATTAGCGTGACACAGCGATTGCATGCCTCCTCAATGGCTAGTCTTATGGGAAAGTATGATGGCATAAGCAGTCTTGTAATTTCCCGAGCAACTGGAGATTGGTCATTTGCAAGTGTATTCAACAAGACTTCTAAACCGACCACCTTTAACAAATAGAGCAATGAACAACATCAAACCCCACGTCCCCATCCAAGGAGAAAGGAATTAAAGTACTACTGATGTAAAATTAAATTTGAAAAGTACTTTATACCTTATTAAATTGGAAAGCTCGGGTGTCCTTTAAAAGAAGAAGGAGATCTACCGTCGCAACTCTTATGGAAAGAACATGATCTAACATCAGATGCCCCAGTCTCGGAAGAAGCACTTTAAGAATTTCATGAGACTGTGGATTGCCAAGCAAATAGATAATGCCATTCAAAGTGGAAAGCCTAACCTCATTGCATGTGTCATATGCCATCTCATCAAAAATTTTCGTAATTATCTTTGTAATGGTTGATGAAGGAATAATTTCCCAGAACAAATGGAGGATGCGACAACAACCTTCCACCGCAATAACTCTCACATCAGGACAATCATCCATGAGTAATCTCTCCAACAAAAAGAATTGTTTATCCAGCAATGTATCTTTAGCCTCTTTGGTAGCATCAGGATCTTCAAAAGGGAACAAATCTAAAAGTAAAAGTAATGCATTTTGTCGAACATTTGAATTTGCAACCTGTCAGAGGACCATGGCGCTTAATTAAATACTTGTCATCCAAAACACCCATATACTGAGTTAGAAACTATCAAGTTATAAAGCAAAAGTCATCCTAATTAACAAGGCTAAGATATCTAATCTAAAGGGAAACATCTCCGACAAATTAGTAGTTAGAAAATTTGTAAGGTTCCTATGATTGTTACTTTCGCTACTTGTTTTTATTAGAAGCAAAATCATAACTAACTAAACATATAACCCCAATTTAAACATGATTATTTTATATAAAAATAAAATCATGTAGTTTATGTATAAAAAATCAAAACTTTGATTATAAATTCTTAAAAAGAAAAAAAAAATATTTCTAACACTTTTTATTTGGCTCTCTGCTTCTTTCTACATTAAAAGAGACTATCCTAATGCCAGATAAATGTTGAAATTCACATCCACCTTATAAAAAAACAAGTAAACAAAAATTTCCATAAAAAACCACTAGAATCAGTTCACCTACCTGTAAAGAGCGGAAAATCACAGGCTCAGCAAGCCTAAAGAGCAACTTCTCAACTCCATCAACAGTTCTCTGATTAATAAACCCACCTAAAACTCTTCTAATACTACTTCCCAAACCTTTGGAACTCGCATGTATAGCTCCTTCAACTAAACCCATCAAAAACCCATCTTCAATTTCCCTTTTCAATTCCCCTTCGGCTCCTTTCCATCCCTTAAACACTATCTCACCATAAGCTTCTAACATTGATTTCCTCCCGAATGGAATCTGAGCTTTTATCATCGCCAAACATTCCTTCAAAAACTGCAAACTTAACCCAAATGCAAACGCCACGAATCTCTTCCCTTCGTCCGTTTTCAAAAACAAAGGCTCGATGACACATCGGATTAGCAACAGTTTCAAATCTTCGATGCTTTCGTCTTCAAAATCGAAGAAAGTGAAGGCTTCCCGGAGCGTATAAACTTTGTGAACATCAACCTTTTTCTTCAAAGTTAATGATTTTGAGAGCAAAAATGGCAGCATTTGGGAAATTAGGGTTTCTTTTTCCGGTAAGTTCTGTTTCCACCACTCTTCACAAAAACACGCTATTTCGTTGGATAAACCCGGATCCGACTCGAAAAGGATGAGATTATCGTGTAAAGATCGGACGGCTGGAATTAAATCGGAGTGTTGAAACGCGTTTCGAGGATGCGAAACGCATAAGCCGGTGATGTGAGCGAGAACGCGGAGATTTTCGCTGTCGTTTTTAGCGTCGTCTTGGGGCTTGGAGTTTCGGGTAGACCGGCGGGTGCGTTTTGTGGGCGGAGAATGGGACGGGTCGGTTTCGGAACGGGTCGGTGGGTTTTGAAACGAAAGGATGGAGTCGGATATGCAGAGGTGGAGGCACGGAGGGAGAGTGGAGGAGAGAGAAGAAGAAGGAGGGATTGAGTGGATTAGAGATTTGAGAGTTGATTTTGAGGATTTTAGGGTCAGCTTCAAGGCGGAGGAGAGGAAGTCCTCGGCGGACGACTTGAGGGAGGAGCGGAGCATCTTTTCCATGGCTTCTACTTTTTGAAAAATGGGGGGAATGAAGGAACCGTTAAATTTTTAATTTTTGAGAGCGGAAAAGCTGAGGAGCATGAAGTTTGGGCCGGGTGGGTTTCAAAGTGGAATTTAATCTTTCCAATATTCCGTGGGCTAAGTTGGACATATCTGAACATCATTTTAGCCCACTTCCTTTGAAATATAATTGGACCATTTGGTCGTTTACTTGCTGAAATAGGCCCATGTTTAAACCTGGTTCATCCAACATAGCTTCACCAAAAATAAAACTATTCAAGTGTAGGTTATCCACCGAAGTCTAAAGGTTCGTTCAAAATTTAGGTCAAATTTTGGATCAAAAAATTTAAGTCTAGTATCAATTAATAAATTATATATAATTAAAAAAATTATAATTATATAAATATATATGAACATTTTTATTTTTTATATTTTAGTTTTTTAAAAAATATTTTTAAAGTTTTTATTATATAAATTAAATTTAATGAGTATGTTAGAGATTTATTTTTTTAATTTGAGCTAAATTTAAAAATTTTAAAGTCTAAAATATTGAGTCAAATTGGATTCTAATAAATATATCAATAATTAATATCAACTATAAATTTAAATCAAACTTGATCCAACTCGGCCCATAAACATATTTACTCATAAAAATATTAAATTGAGGTGAGAAGGTGAGTTGAAAAAAGGAATTAAATCTAAAGAAAATTTGAGATTGTATTGTCAAAATAACAATAATCATTCACCATAAATAAAATATTGTAGTTTTGAAAAGAAAGAGATGAAATTTATAAAATGAAAATTATAATAATTCATTATATAATTCAAAATCGCATGTATAAAAACATTAAATATTAGCAAAAAAATTAAATATTTGAAAATTTATTTAAAAATTGAAGTTTTAAATGATAAATATTACTTAACAAATTCACTTTGAGTGTGTTTGGTAGAGTGAAAAATATAAAAAAATAAACAAAAGTGGATAGATGAGTGTGTTTGTTAGAAGAAAAATATATCATTTTTTATCCTTATTCACAAAAAAATTAATCATTTCAAATTGAAAAGACAAAACCAAAAAAAAAAAAAGGGGGAAATATGAATCAAGTATGTAATTTACAAAATTATCCATTATTTTTTAGATTTTATCTTTTTGTTTAAACTTATAAGGAATATAATGATAAAATAATATATATTTTTCATTTTTTTCCCTCATTTTTCAATTCTATCAAAAACAATGAATAAAAAGAAAAATATTTTTTCCTTCTACTTCTTCATTTTCACGTCAAGCATATTATGAAAAGAAAGTAAAACCAATAGAACCTTTTTTGTTAGTATTTGTTTACCCACAATTGATGTAAATCAAAACACAAGCCATTTCCTGATCCATTTTGTATCAAGTGATATTCAACCACTTAATTAAGGTTTTCCAATTTGTATTTCCTAACCCCAAAAAAAAAAAAAAATTCAAACATTCAACAATGTATAATTTAGCTAATGAGACCTTGATTTAGTCTGATTCTAATTTATTGATTGGTTGATTTGTTTAATTATTAAATGATTTCTGGTATATAAATGTAATATTTGATTATGATAATAACTTATAATTTTGTAAAAGAAAAAAAATGGAATTTATCTTTCTTATGAATATTCAATAATGGTTAATCCTTCAGGCATCAACAAAACATCTTTCATGAAATTCAAACAAGAGAGATCATTACTTTTACCTTCATAGGAAAAAAAAAAAATGAATCATTCTTATTCCTATTCAAAATCCGGTCCCCTCCCCTCCCTGCCTTGCTCCAGAGGGCCCTGTATTTTTTCATGTCACCCAATGATAGAAAAACCAATTTTCCACTATAGTAACAACAAAATTCTTGCTGTTTTATATGGATATTCATGTGATCAATTCAGACCCTTGTCTATAACTCTAAATCTGAAAACGTAGTTTGAATTTAGATACTTCCATTGGTTCACTTAAATGTCACCACCTTGACCAGCTACGAGCTCAAGAAAGTATGAGAAAAATCTAGCGAATCAAATCCTGCCGTGTCTTTTGCCTGCCATTTTTCCATTGTAATGTTGCACAATGGTATTGTTTCCTCACCTTTGCAATCAAGATAAGCCTGCATTTTATCTTGGTTTGGAGATCAGCTTGTTCTGTTGCAATAGGATAAGCCTGATTTTGGCTATGAATTGCGGGTAAGTGTGAATATCAGCTGAAAATAAAGAGGTAGTCATGTCAATCATCGAAGCAATGTTTATCAAAAGAACTTTGACAAGTTCAATTGTGATGTGAAGCCAAGAATAAAGACATTTTATAGGTGCATTTTTAGAACTATGAGAACCTTATTTGAGTTGAAGTTTATCATTCAAACACAAACTTTCCTTCAACAGAGTACCTCTGATTTTTGCCTATGCAAATGCATTTTCTGATAGACACCTTGGAGATTGTTAGGATTGGTAGTGGATTGGTGACTAGCTTATGGAACTTTTGACGCCTTTCTTCTCTCAACAAAAACCAAGTAATAACCGCTGAAAAGAATGCAGAAGAAAGAAGACATGGAAAACTCTACATGTATGGTTGACAGAATTCTGTAATTATTGCTGCCTAATCTGCTTTAGCAATGAATCTTTAATAGCTATGCATTTCTAATGTTATTATTAATTGGCAATGGCATGGATGCAGGCAACATTATATGGACCATTGAACCTCTGGATATGACTGCTGCAGAGGTACCATTCACAGGATACATGGTAATAACTGGAAGTAAAATACAATGCTGTACAATGCCAGACTGGATATCCTAAGAACCCCATGGAAGCATGTGGAAGGGTGGAGCCTCTGACACCCAATTTGCCAATTGCCATTTTGAAACTCATGCCCCCTCAAATCCCCGCAAAATCCAATTCACCCCAAAACAAAATTCTCTAATTCCATGACGTTACTTGGGTCCTACAAACATCAATCAGAGGAAGAAAATATCATCAGCATTCACGTGTAGGCAAAGATAATGGCATAGCCGCATATATAATGGTGCACCGGGTAGCAGCTTTGAGAAAGGATCGCCTGTAACGTCAACAAGAATGTTTTTAACTGTTCCTTCCAGATTATATTCTTTGAAACTACAAGAAAAATGGATTTTATCAACTTTAGCCATATAATTTAAGTTGGTTTTATGGTTTTGTTTTTATGTTATTTTGAATATAAACATCAGTTAACTGCACCACCTTGATTGATATTAGAAACTGTTCGAATTTAACCGGTTAGAGAAAGCCTGCATTTCATCTCAAGATGACCTTATTTTACCAACTTCAAACTGTGGAGTTACTCGCAAATCAAGCATTTTGACATCATTTAAAATGAGTTGAGCTGCAACATTATCAGGACAGAAGCTCCTTTTTGAATCCTTAAACATAATCTGGGGTTTAGATGGTCCCCAATCTTAGTGCTGTTTCAAGCTAATAGTGAAAAGGAAACTTCCCACTCATCTAAAAGTAACCCCAACATTCCAGGCAAATCCAATCACCATTCACCTTTTTTATACTTTTCCATGGCCCAAATGCAACACAGATGAATCAAATCTAACAAAAACAATCCCTCAATCCTCATGGCTTTCAGGCTTTTGAAATACATAGGAAGCATCCCAAGCCCCCCTATCAAAAGGTAGGCTTCAAAGTTGCAAATTGATTATATATATTTAAATATCCTTTGTCACAACAAAAAATATCAGAGAAAAAAAAATACAAACCAATTGAAAACAGTGGGTAAGAAACACTAGCATTCTTCAAATCAAACAGTACAGGAAACAAATATAAACAAATGGTCTTCATTTCCTTCTGGCATTCTCTTATCATCTCTTCCTCCTCAATGGCGTTTGGACTCTCAGTGGGCTTCATACTTCTTACAGTAGGCTAAAGCTATCCCTTTTTATTTATCTACTTTCCCTTTTTCTCTATCTTCTTGGTTGTCACAGGCTAAAAACTTTTGTTTGTTATTGGAAAATGGAATCTCCCAATCATCAACACCAAATCATAATGAAATGGCAGAAAACACTCATTAGACCTATAAGCAAATCAAATTGCAAGAACCAATTTTTTTTCTGTCAAAATAATCCAATCAATAAACCCAAATCCTATCACAAAAAGAATATCAAACTCCATTCATTATGGCCGACAGATTTTCTTTGCCCGGCTATTTTGATCAGACTCATTGAATGTAAGTTTTCTCTTGGTGCCAGCTCCAGTAGTGACAGCAGAAGAATTCTCAGGAGCACGAATTGAGTTATAATGTACCGAAGAATAATTTGAGGAAATAACAAACTTTGGTGTCTTGGATTTTCTCATCTCTATTTCCTGCATCATATTATAGCAGGCAAATATTCGTTCCTGCTTAATCCAATGTAAGGTTCACATTAATAAACAGTTCAATTTATACAAATATGTATGATATTTTTATTGACAAAATTATATGATAAAGAATAGCAGACCATTGAAAAATGAAAGCTCACATTTTCTACAGATCCCCAATATGAAACGAAATCCATCTTGAGCTCCATTGCTTGTCTTGTTAATCGACCATCAGAAGCAGCCAACACTGCAGCCGCAGCAATAATCGATGGTCGATGATCCACCAAACGGGTTTCTGCATCACAAGATTCAATTCGATAAGGAGTAATCATACAAGGATAAGTTCCTAATTCCATTCAAAACTAAATTCTTGGATTACCTTTTATCATAGCCAAGATAAGCTCCAGAGCTTTGGAGACTAATTCTTTAAACCTAGATTCACCGTAAAATTTACTGATGAAGTAATGCAAATAAGGAAAAGGTGTGATAGAACCCATCTTCCACTCCAATGTACTAAGTACCAATAGCTCCATTCTTTGAATCACTTTATTCTCAAATTGATAATCTTGTATAGGAAATTCTGATAAAGCAGGTACTCTGCATTCCTCCATTTTTGCTGCCAATGATAAACATGCTATGGATAACAATTGAATGGCCCACAACTTCCCTTCCTATATCAACACAAATAACAAAAAGCCATTGTTACAAAGGTAAACAAGAAACTTGCCATTGTTTACAGAATTCAGAAAAACTTACATCAATGGATCTCTTTGAAAGAAAGAGATCAAAATAGGTGACAGACAGGTAAGCCGTATGAATTTGGAATCCAAAGGTTGTTCTTGTCTGAATCAAAGAAAAGAAAAACATGTTCACAGATTTGAACATAAAAAAAAATAGAAAACAATAAAAAACAAACAGGATAAAATATAAAGTTGGAAAAGGAAAGCAAACATTGAAAATCCATTCAATAGCATCCAAGCGAGCACATTCCAGCCAACTTTTACTGGCAGTTGGACAATCACTAAAACATACGTTAGTTTTGAATACCACATCAGTTTCTCTCTGTATCATCTTCTCAATATACTCATCTTCAGTCTCTAAAACAAAACATGACTTATAATATTTCAAATAAATACTTTCATCATCTTCTCCTTCGATTTCAGAAAAACAAGCTTCTTCAGTTTCTTGACACAAGAGACCAGAGCAAGAAAACAAATTGTCGAACTCTCCCATTTGTCTCTCTCAACTCTCTATACATCACCAGTTGGAAAAATCTCAAATCTCAAAGAAAAGAACAAAAACAAAACATGGGTTTGGTCGTTTATTTCCTGTTTCTAGTTTCTACTATATATGTTAACTGTTGAATCCACGTTTGAGGAGACCAAGTAGGGGGAACCGGGAAAGGGAAGTTGTTGATGATGAGTAGCGGTTTTGGTGCCGCCAAAATTAGCGGATAAGATATAGAGAGAGGCGTTACTTAGCAGTTACTTGCATTACATCACGGTGCAGTGCAGAGTAGAAAAGTAGACTCAAGATTCAAGAATGAACGTACAACAAGAAGTATAGATATAATTCTCTCCATGGAATTGTCATTTTAAGGTATCCTTAGAAATCTCTTTTATATTATAAAATCTTTACATGGTTTGAGTGATTTGCTATTAATTATGGGAGATTATAATAAAAGAATAAACGAACTGTTTTTTTTATTATTCCTAAAATTTAGGAAGTTGTAGAATTGGTAAAGTTTTTGTTCATTTGAGAAATTATGGGACACCCTTTGTTAATGTCAAAAAGTTTCCTAAATCATGAGAAAAAAAATAGAAAAAATAAGTTTAAGCAAAACTTAAAATTCTTAATTGCATTATAAAAATGAACACAAAAGTTTCATAGCCGATAAATTCATTTCGATTATCATTACACTTCTTTTCTTTTTGTTTTCTAATGGGAAGTTCTAAAAATTACAATAACATTGATTTGATTAAACAAATTCGGAGTTCCTAGTACTTAGGGAGACAATGGTACAAATCTACAGGATAGATCTTCTTCAAGCTCGTGAAAAAATTTCAATGTTCAAATCTGCACTATTCCATAACAGCTGTAAACGAGTAAAATGGTAATAACTTCGTACATAAGTCAACAGAAATAAATGAAATTACCTAAAAGGCTACGTAGCTTTACAATAACATTCATTATTCATTTACACATATTTATTTAATTAATTTCCTTGCCTTTTTTTTTTTAATCTTCCTCCAATTACTAGGATACTATGAAATAGCCAAAGACCTTGCCAATGATTTTCTTTCTCATTTTTTTTTTGGTCTAATGAAAGATTGGAATTTCAATATCAAAGATCTTTTGTAGAACATTAGGTTTAGCTTAAAAGGTTTATCCAACTCCTATAAAAAATAAATTCTAGCAAGGTTGAAGTTGAATTCGCAGCAGTTGCAAATTTCTCATCCCTAATTCCTTTTAGATTTCGGCTTCTTTTATTAAAAAAAAAATTATTATACCCAAAGTATTAATCCAATAAATAAGGAACAATATTTTTTTTGTCATATTCTTATTGAAAACATTTTAAAAATTAAAATTTAAATGTACCAAATTAATATAAAAAAAATGCTTTTAAAATAATTAGACAAAATCTAAGAATACCCCAATCGTATTTTAAAAAAATCATTTGTTGCTATAAAATTACACATGTACAAATTTTGAATGTGTTTAGGTTTGGAAACAAATCCCACTGTCATCTAACTTCATATATTTATACATTCTGAAATGATGGTCCAAACCTAATACTAGTAAAATACTATAATCATTTATTACTTTCAAATTCTTGTAAGGGTTGTTTAAGAACAGTCAGATGGGCTCAGTGCAGCTCTATTAGCAACTTAGATTGTCATAATAAATTACATCCTCTAACTAAAATGTTTATAACTTATTAGACATTTTGGATAACTTAAAACTTTATTAAAATTGAACAGTATTTTAATAAGAATGTGACAATAAAATTGAGCAAAGCCACGAAGAATAAAGTGAATTCTTTTTCAAGGGAGTCATATGCAGGCAGTTCTAACCCTTGAGTTTATTTTATTAAGCAAAACAGTAAAGTAAATTATGAATAGAAAAATGAAAGTAAGAGAGAACACAAGATCCAAAAACTGGCACTGTTAAATGATATTAATTGATTATAACTTAAAATCCATTTTAACTTCTTAACAGTCAGAAGATTGTTGCATTTATAGAATATGTTCTTTCAAAAAAAAAATTTATGTTTTATTTTATTTAGTATATAACTTTAATAACAGTGTCAGTTGATTTTTTTTTTTTTTTGGAGAAACTCTAATGAACATGCAGATTTCATGTTATGAATCATGGCAATCATTAAATGTGTTTATGTGAATTTGGTAGCTAATTGAAAGAAAGGGTTGAAAGATATGAATACAAGCTGTAATTTTTTTTTCTTTAAGAAATGCTATCCTATTGAGGCATTGAACTACTGATGTAGCATTTATATAAAATTTGGCAGCTAACTAAAGAGGGGATGGTTGAAAGTTGTGAATATTAATGTTGCACCTTGGAAACAATTTTAATCTATATAATTCTTCATTTCTTTAGATAGAAAAATGGCCATATCTAACACAAGTAGCATACTCTACAAACTTAATTTGAGCCACCTTGAAAGTTAGATGAGTGTGTTAATAGCTGTTTCAGTTTCATTTTCAACCGGATGCTGAAAATTTCAATTTTTTTTAATGCTCGAAAATTTAGTTCAATGATTCTTGTATGCATGATTTTCTGCTAAATTTTAAACTCTTCAAATGATCCATTGTTCAAATAAAAATAAATAAATTTTCCCAATCAAGATAAACTTTTGCCTAAACATTTTTTTTTAGATTAATTAGCCGAATACCCGATCAAAATATCTAAGTATTTGACTTAATGATTAATGTATGGTCCATCTGCTCAAAGAACTAAAAAAAGAGGCATGGCTGTGCAAGCAAACATTATTTTAACCCATAAATAAGTTTAACAAATAGTTTCTCATGCTTGTTTTCTAGAGGGGGACTACATTAAATTCTAAAATGGATAAAACAAGACTCAATTCTTAAAACAGGAAAAGAAATGAAAACCTACATTAATGTCCCAATGCTACACAACAAGTATATAATAAGGTTGTCCCACTGGTTGGTTAAATTGGAGGGGGGAAATTAAGCATGGCAAAAAGGGTGGGGGGGCTAAGCAAAGGGGAAAGCCAAGAAAAGCATTGATAGTTGGTATGATAACACACATGAAGATAATTGCAGGTGGGAGAGAGGAGCGTCTTCACGTGCCAAAGGCTGGACCACACCAGACCACTCTGGTTTTATATTATGAAGATGAAGACGCTCCTCCTCTATCCAAAGTTTTGCCCCTTTTGCCTTTGGCCCTTTGCCAACCCTCTCCCTCTCATACAAAATACTATTATTATTGCCATGAATTATAGTTTTATATATTCACTACAGTGCCCCCATTGCAAGGGTGCTGTTTTTGCTTGGGTCTTAGTGCTGTGGACTTAAAACCTTTGACTGAAAATTCTTGGGAACTCCAAAATGGTCAGCAACAACTTTGACTCATCTGTGATTTTTACATAACAAAATTCTTACAAAATCTCACCGTGTGGGGAAAATCATGGTTCCAATACCATGTTCTTTTCATTCATGAAATTGTGAGTTAGGCTTTCGATGTCAAGACATTAGATAGTTATTATGGTCAGCCATGAAAATCCAACGTAGTTGGATATAATGCAATGACACGATTATAGACAAATTTTTCATGCATGTTCCATATATATATATATATATATATATATATATGTATGTATGTATAGCAATTACCAAATTTTTTATTTGAGATTATTGTTTGAGATAAAGAATGATTATATGAACAAGCATAATTAAATTTTAAATTTAAAAATAATCAAATTTAATCATTGCTAATTACTTAATAAAAATACAGAATCTCATTGAGTACCATCTCTTTTGTTGCTTGCTGCAGCAATAGGCATGAATTTTGAAGATGGATGTATGTCTAGATGAATGAGCCTTCATTGAAGCCCAATGAAATCATTCCAGCCAAGAACCAATTTTACAACTTCCTGGGCTGATCCAAACGGAAACACTAGTTTCTATTTTCTTTCTGGTTTGCCTTTCCTCGTCATTAAAGAGCTGATAACGGAAAATCTTATGCATTAGTTTTTTTTCTTTTTAACAAAAAATATAGAAAAAAATTATAGATATTGGAATTTAAATCCGAATAAATCAACTAATTTAAATATCAAGTTTAAATATGATTAATTTTGGCATAAGTATTAAAAAAGTACATCAATTAAAATTAAATAATCATTTAAGTCTTTATTATTTTACTGTAATTAATTAAGCCATCAAATATTTATTTTATCAATCATGCTTTTATTATATGAAAATTGATTAATTGTCAACATTTATTTTCGTTCAATTGATAGTTCAATTAGATGAAAATATATGATTAAGAACTTAAGTGAATGAAAATAGATAGTTAAGGATTCAACTAATCTAATATAAAAGATTTAGGACTTAATTAATTATAATAAAATATCAAGTACTTAAATGATTATTGAATTTTTTGCCTATTGTCCATTAATTTTCAACTTTAAGAAAATTTAATTATTAAATTTTTATGTAAGTATATCACCTACAACTATTGAAATTTAATTAGTCGATTAAAATTTAATATTGTGTAAGATTCATAAAAAATTATATAGAAATCATATTTTTAAAAGATTAATCTTTATATAAATTTTTATAATAATTAAATAATTACAAAATTATAATAAAAAATATATAGGTGATGTAGTTTCTTCTTCATCCCGTCTTTATCACATTTTAACCACTTAGTTCCTGACAATTTATCAGATTTGTTGATGGGTATTAAAAAATAATTACTTCGGCAATTAAAAATTTGTCGATCCAAAGCTGGGATAAACCATGTGCAGTCTGTCACATTTATGGTTTACTAGTGCCAGTGATTAAATCTAATTAATTAATATTTCAATTTTAATTTGTAGGTCAATTGCCACCAAAAGAATTAATTTTAATTGTAACCACCACAGTGCTTGACTAGCTACTTTGAGCAACTTTTGTGTCTTTTTTTTTTTGAAGTAAAGACAAGTATCCCTTTTTATAATAAAATATTATATCTACCCATAAACGAATTTGATAATAAAATATTATATCTATTTTTTTCTGTATCTAATTATAATAAAATATTATATCTATATAATTAATTAAATAATCAATTATTCATCATAATTTTAAAGAAATTCAATTACATAAAAATATTGCATTATAATCAAGTTATAATAGTTAAACAATCAACTAACAAATTATAATATAATTAAATGATCAAATTACATATAATAAAATTTAAATTTAAGACCTTAAAATTTTAAAAAAATTTTATCATTAAATTAAGGTCTCATTGACCTTTTTTTTTTTTTTATCTTACTCTAAAGCTAAATAATAAATTAATTAATCTTAAAATATTGCTTGGTTGAATCATCCCAATTATTTTTTTTTTACAAAAATTATAATATAAAAATTTAAAAAATATAAAAACTGCTCGATATTGATTGGTTATTGATTGAAAAATAAAATGTACCTAAATCAAAATACCAAAATAAGGGCAAAACCTTTTTGTCTAAAACAAATAAAATACAATAAAAATTTAAAGTTTTAATTTTGGTTTAACAATATTTTTAAAATTGATATTCAATACATTATTTAAATTTTAACACCTATAATTTTTTTATATATAAATTATAATTTTTTCTTAAAAAAATAAATACAATACAATTATGCATTCTGCTAACTAATTAATATGTTAATTAATAGATATTTTTCAATGCATTGACACTCGTAAAATTAGATGACAATTATTGCATTTATAAGTAGTAATTTATTTAAGGAATACTAAAGCACTTGCTGGCAAAACTCCACAACTATTTACCCGAACACCGTCCTGGCTGGCAGGCAGCTAATTAACCGTTGAAACAGGGTTTTTTTTTTTTTTTTTACGAGATGAGGTTAAACGCTGGAAATTAAGCACGTGAGAAATGAGTGGGGAAAGGACGTGGAAATACGCAAGCGGAATCGCGCACGAGACGATATTTTTAGTTAGGGAGTTTTGCTGACAGATAAAATGATTTGATCGGAACAGAGTGGATTTAGACAGTAACAGATTTTTCAAAAGTTGGTTTTCTCTTTTTTTCATTCCCATCCTCTGGCACCCTAACTGGGTGGCGTGGCGGTGGAGCTCTGTGTTGGCAGCTTTGTTTGTTTGTTTATTTGGAGGAGGAGGAGCAGAATCTGGCGGTGGTAAATTTTGACGGTTATTGATATTGATGACTTTAAAGCGAGAAAGGAACTGATCGTCGCCATTTCCCTTCTCCTTTCCTTCGCCGTTTCTTCATTGAATAATTACGCTAAGAAGAGAGGCAAAAGAAAAGAAGAAAAGGGTATGTTTTTCATCTCTCTCTCTCTTAGATTTCATTTTTTCTGTGAGATTTCATCAGAGAATTTTGGACGGAAACATTTTAATTTCTTCTTATTGATTTTTCATTTTCCAAATTTCGGATCGTTTTGATTAGATTAAAGGTGAAAACTTTATTTAAATTCCCAATGTTTTTAACGTTTCAATTTCATTATTTCTCAAGGGAAAATAGGAATTCCAACATCATATCTTGTTCTGATGAAGGAATAACAAATCAAAAACAGTCAGATTAAACCTGAATTGTTTTAATATTTGCTTGGTTTTCTTTTGTAATCGGTCACCATTGTTAATTTATTTTTCAAGTTGATTCTTTGAATCTTGGTTAACTTGGCCTTGCTTCTCTTTAATCTGAATCTTCTGCTTTATTTTACATTTCAATTTTCAAGAGCATTATATCTATGCAATTTGTGTCAAATTAATGCTTTTGATTTGGGTTACTTATAAAAGTTCTGCAGTATCAAACTTTTTTTTTTTCAGATTTAAGAAAGAAAAAGGAACCCTGAGTTTTGTTACCATTGAATTCCAATTCCTTCTAAAAGTGAAGCTAATGGGAAGAATGGAAACTATTACAAAGCAATCTCCTCAAGGTGCCAATAATGTTTGTCCAGCGCCACCCCCTTTACCAGGTGCAGCTACAAATTTTCGGCAAAAGCGGTTATTTATGATGAACAATGGATCAGCAATAACTGGAAACAGCTGTGTTTCTACAGCCACCAGGGATATGTGGGATAGCCTCTTTGATGGAGGCTATAGGGCGGACGTTACCATTAAATCTAATAATGGCGGCATCATCTATGCACATGCTAATGTTCTTGTAAGCCCTCCCTGTATTTCCATATCTGATTTTAATGATAGTAAAAGCTTGTTTAATGTCATGAAATCAATGGATGTTATGCTTTGAGGAATACCCCAATAACATAAAATTTTGATTTTTCTTTTTAACTAGCTCTTTCCTTCATAATATAAAACTAGTTTTGAACACTCTCAAGTCATCTCATTGATGGTTTAATTAAGCATTTTTTTGATGTCTTGGTTAAATTTGGTTGTATATGGAAGTTATAGTTATAGAGGTTGATTCATCCTCCCAACAAGTAATACATACGGATATTTCAAATGAAACCCTAGTTGGGGCTGTGACATTGCTTCATTTAGTTCATTAGCATGTTTTATCTTTTTAGTCTATCTGCAAAAAGTGTTTGAATGTATAAGAAAATAGAGAAAATACCCCCATCTAACAATGTTGACATAGTATCTTAAAAAAAATTATTGACTCAATCCCTTCACTGGATATTTGCTAACAGGGTATGGCGTCTCCTGTCTTAAGAGGCATGTTGATTCAAGCAAAAGGCTTTGGTCAAAAGGGATCAATTTCAATCCATGGTGTTCCAGAAGATGCAGTTCGGGTTTTCATCCGATTCTTGTACTCTTCCTGGTAACTACTCTTTTCTCATTGGAGATTTTTTCAAATACAGCTTTGTGAACCAGTAAGTAATTGGAAATTACTAGTTATCTTGACACTATGAAGGACGTTTAAGTTTTGGGAAAATAACTTCATGTTCAAAATATTATAAATGCCACTGAGATCTTGTGGTTGCATCATGCATTCATGCTACCTGTGTTAATTGTTATTGGTTTTAATTGTAGTTATGAGAAAGAGGAAATGAAGGAATTTGTCCTGCCCTTGTTGGTGCTATCACACTCATTTGTTGTTCCTCAGTTGAAGCGAGTTTGTGAACAGCAACTAGAGCATGGCTTGCTTACTCTAGAAAATGTAGTTGATGTCTTCCAGCTTTCATTACTGTTTGATGCACCTCGGCTCACGCTGATTAGTCACCGTATGATCCTAAGGAACTTCAAGGTTGTTTCTGCTACTGAAGGATGGAAAGCAATGAAGAAGAGCCATCCAGCACTTGAAAAAGAACTAGTGAAATCCATGATTGATGAAGAAAATGTAAGGGATTTCTTTGTAAAGATGTTTCCCCTTGTTATGAGCACTTTGATCTTAAACTCTAAAATCAATGTTAAAATGTAATTTCCAGATGAAAAAGGAGAAAATCAAAAGATCAAATGAGCGGAAAATCTATCTTGAATTATGTGAAGCAATGGAGGCTCTTGTTCACATTTGCAGAGATGGTTGCAGGACAATTGGTCCACGCGATAAGCATTTCAAAGAGGAACAGAAACCTTGCAATTATAGAGCCTGCAAAGGGCTAGAATTGCTTATTCGTCATTTTGCTGGTTGCAAGTTGAGAGTCCCTGGCGGCTGCATTCATTGCAAAAGAATGTGGCAGCTACTGGAGCTACACTCCCGTCTCTGCGCTGATTCAAGTTCGTGCAAAGTTCCTTTGTGCAGGTACTTTATTGTTCTTGTCCTCTGACAACATGCTTGATGTCAATTTGTAACTAAAATAACTAATCTAAATCTGCATAAATCAATTACTTATCCAACCCTTCATTTCAGGAATTTCAAGGAGAAGATCAGGAAACAAAGCAAGAAGGATGAGATCAAGTGGAAAATACTAGTGAAAAAGATATTGAGAATAAAGAGAATTGGAGGAGGTGCACCGTTCTCTGTGTACTTAAATTCCATCTCTTCACGACAAAGAAAGTCCAGGCTTCTCAGATCCTGATTCATTTGTAAAATTTAATTTAACTTTGTCCCTTGATGTATAAAACTATAAAAGCAAAGAATCACTGCTTCCCAACAACTTTTCTTCTGGCTCCTTTTGCAGCTAGAGAAGTGATATGCAATATGCAATTTTTGATCAACCCCCAAATCATTAACCATCAAGTTCAGCTTTTCCAAAAGCTAATTCAAAGACGGGGTATCGCCAATTAATGAAAAAGTTCAGATAGGTGAAATGGGAACCTATTATTGATGAACAAAATTGAAAGATTTGATTTATAAGATTTTTGTCAGATAGTTTTGACCAAAAAAAAAAAATCAATGATGTCACATTCATCAATATGCAATGATGTTTGGTGGATCCACGATAGACAATCCAACTCCAGAAGCAAATGGCAAATGCATAAATGAATAATGGTCCCTTTCAAACTATTCAATGGCAATTATTCTTGTGGGGAAATCTACCGCTTAAAAATTGCTATCTGATACAAGAGTTTTCATTATCAAAAGGAATGGAAAAGATGAGTGTATCTGCTTTAGCAGTCAAGCACTTTTTCTTTTTTTCTTTTTGCTTTGGGGGTGAGAGGAGGGGAATGGGACAAACAGGATCAAGCATAAACTTTTTTTTTTTTTTTCTTTTTGGCTATTTTGATCAAGCATTAGCCTTTGGTGATGCATTACGTGCATGACCATGAATGATTTTCATCAGTAATAAACTAATGTATGAAAACTGTCGGTGACATAGTATTTTAAGGATGATGAGGTTCTCTTTTTCTTTTTTTTTTAATGAAATTATTAATACAAGAGAAATTATAATTATATTCAAGTATTTTATATAAAAAAAATCAATTAATTTAATCAAATCAACGAACCAACACCAACATGTATAAAACATATATATTCATACCAGTTGGGTAGGGATCAAACAAATTCCGACAAAGATTGGACCGTTGCCATTTGGAATATCTGCATCCTGATTCATTTCGCTTGTACAACATGGCATTCCCTCGACTGAAAAATGTCCTAATGTAATTTTGCCTTCCGTGCGAAGTGAAAAACTGAAAAAGAAAAAGACAAGAAAACCTTCTTTTTTTTTTTTTTTGGTTTTTTTACAGTGAACTGAAGTACAGAATGTTAAACGCCATCTCATCTACATTCCGAAAAAGACAATGGAGGAAACACGTCAGAAAAAGGGCTTTTAAACTACTTCGGGTATGTTGCAATAATTTTTCAGTTTTTAAAGCTTTGTCTTGTTACCTTATCCTGATGTACAAAAACCCATGACGTAACAAAAATCTTCTTTGAGAATGGAAACTGTTTGGTTGTTTTTTACTTCATTCTGGCATTTTAGCATTCATTGTATGATCATTTCTGTGTGTTTTTCTGTTTTAGTTTCATGCTGAGAGCATCTCATTTATTGCTTTACTTAAAAAAAGTAATCTTTCTATACCAACAAGATAGAAAAACTAAAACTTGAGATACAGAATTGCAGATAGCTCTGAAGTCCAAACCAAACGCAATGTTGCAAAACTGCTAGATATATTATTAGTAATTATCAAATAAATGCAGACAATGGCATAAAGTAATATAAAAAGCACTCTTCTTTTACTCAAAAATTTATAGGAATCTGATCTAAAAGAAGAAATCTGAATCTTAACTATTGCATGTGTGTTGAAGTAGAGAAAGAAAAATATATGCTGCTTGTTTGTTTCTTTCGACCGGCATGTTCTTCATTTGGTCATCCATTTCATTGCCGGATGCAGATGAAAGTACCCTTTCAGTTTTCCCACAAGCTATACTTATTATTACATAGTTTCTGGCCTATGGACACTATAAGGCTTTCCATTCTTATACAAAATGAGCATAATGAGAATCTACTGATGGAAAAGGGCGTACCTCATCGCCAACAGCCATGTCTCCATCTGAACTTAAAATTGAATTGATATGCTAAGCTTTTCATTTCTTCTTTATTATACTTTTTGCATGCTTGTAATGGAAAATGAGACATTTTTGCTGTTGGTTCAGTTGGAAAAAGGGTCTTACTGTGGGAATGTGAGCTAAATTGATATTCTTCGAACCTGTATTCACACAACTTCATGGAGACAAGCTTTCGTTATCAGAATTTCCATCTTGTCTCACATTATACCTGCTAAGAACTGGTAGTGAAGCAGTTGCAGATATCCGAAAGGATCTAGCAGAACCCACCATTGTTCTATCCTGCATTCGCCCCACTTCCTTGCAGACATGATCCAATGTTGACAGGAAATCTCTCACAATCATGAAGATTCTGAAGGGATGAGCTTCTTCCTTTGCTGCATTCCCATGAAAATATTCAGTTACTTCTTTCACAAGCAATAAAGCTTTCCTTTCATCTGCCTTGATCTTAGCAATCTCCTCTTCAGCATCTCTTAGAAACATCTTCATCGAGTTGAAGAAATTCCCCTGCATATCTTGCTTCTCATATTGTATAACCAATCTGACCTTCTCAAGTCCCATTTCAAGCTTTGACACATAACTGCTTAGGACATCCGAGTCCATTCCTGCTGCCTTCTTGACATTGCTGAGGTCTCTGCTCAGCCCAGCCACAACCTGCAATCCTTGCTTCCTGAAATCATCCTCCTTAATGTGGGAGGACATTTTATTTTCATCATTCCCATTTGTAGAGTTAGTACCAGCACCTTCAGATCTAATGATCTCCTGAACCACAAAGTGTAGTAGTGTTGTTTTCCCATCTGTTCCCTTTACATCAACAAGTTTCAAAAGGGTATCAAGTTTAAAAGCTTTAGCATCACCACGATTAGTGCCAACATTCATCCGGTTTCCTGTTCTGAGAACAGCTTCAAGGAGTTTAAGGAATAACCTGCTATTCTTCAATTCCTCACTTGCTTCCTGAAATTACATAGAGAGAAATGAATTTATAGTAGCCTTTACTAGAGAGTTTTTGGAAATCTTTTTAGTGAAAGTCTTAGGATATTTAAAATCACAAAGCATTGAGCATTATGATTTTTAATACCTCAAGGGTTTGAAAAGACTTCCTCAAATATTTTACTTCTGTATCAAAGTTGGCTCTATAGAGCATGGCCTCAACTCTTCTGAACGCAAATGGAATATCAAGCACTGTCTTGAGAAATCTTTCTGCAGATCCTAGTTTCGAGATGTCCCCACTGTACTCTCGAAGTTTTATTTCTTCCTCCTTTGTAGGAGCCATCTTTACTAAAGTCTCCAAAAGCTCAGCGCCTACGCTTTCTGGGTTACCTGTTAATGCAAACAGAATAGCATGTGATGTAGCAAACTTATATTCAAGATTTAAATAGACAATTATTTGCAAATTAAGACCTGCAATTGGCATCTCAAAGAACCTTTTCATCTTCTTTCCTTGATCTATACATTTCTGCATATGCAGCTTACTTCAATACGAGCTATGCTTGACTGCTTATTTCTTGTCATGGACTCATGGTGTTGTCTTATTTGATATGTCTATATTCTTCCACTCATGTGCATATACATATTTTAACTTTAAGGGCTAGGTCTGTATATTTTAAACGATAGATAGATAAGATTTTTCTGATGAAACTATAATGTAAATCATGCTAATTGCTCATTTTATGGCTAATCTCAGTTATCACTTGTCCATATGGTTGTCATCATAAATTGAGAGATTGATCATTAGTGTTTAAGGTTAGTTTTGTTAATGGCATCTCTAAATAAGCTTGAAATAATGATCTTCAGTTCCATCTTTCATTTTCTATTGAAGTGATAGTGAGTCACTTCAGCAAGTAACTATCAGGGGAACTGCGACATGCATTGCTTGAAATGATTGGCCAAATACCATTATAGACAATTATGTCACCTTTATGAAGGCATTTTAATATCATAGCAGTGAGTCACCCTTTAATATCAGTGCAAGCAAATGCAACAGGTTGCTGCAAGTGTTTTCTAGAAATGCAGTTTGCAGCCAAAAATGCATTAGAACTTAAGTATAACCGACTAGAGCAGAAGTGACATGATAAGAGTAACTCTATAAATGAAGTTGAAATGAGTCAATACCCATTGCCTTGAAAAAGAAGGAATGAAGAACAACTTTGAACCAATCTAAATGAAAAACAGAGACACTGAAAATTTGGTTAGCCTAACTCTACAGAGCAGAGAAACAGAGGTAGGATATGATAGCTTTGAGCATGAGCAGTATAATGATTCTGAACATAATATTACTTGATAATATGGTTTAGAATGGAAAAATGTATTTATGTCGTCCAAGATTTGACGTTGAAAGGCATTTTAAAAGACTTGAAAGTCAATTTATCACTTGAGGAAACGATAAAATAAAATAGATTCTTTTAATAAGATGAGCTGAAGAATATAAGATGTCAATTAAAATAGTCATTGCAATGTAAATAAAGATATGAACAGCTAGAGATAAAATATTGTAGAGGAAGGGTCTTTCAAGATCATGGTTGTCCTTGTCCTTTAAGTCTTCGTTTTTCTTTCCTTCAAAGCTTTTATTATATATAATAATTAGTATTATTTTTCATGATGAAAACTAACACAAGGATACAAGTGGCCATATATGGCTACAAACTTTTTTCTTGCTCTCTTTCAGTGCAATGATAATGAATTCTTGATTAAGTTCTTAAAGTTTCATTTATGTTTTTATTATATTCAACATTTTTGCTGTTCTTCATCTTTCATTTACACAAGGGCTGGAGATGCAATGCAACCGAGATTTCGAAATTTGAGGAACTAGAAACATATTTTTAGACAGGGTGCGTGAGAATATGTTTGAGCTCAAGAACCTATCAACAAATGACACCAGGTTGGTAAAACGTGGTTTTCTATAATTTACACCCTTGGGAGTAGTGAAAACCAATAAATTTTAGGTTCTTAAGTCCTAGAACCCCACCAAAAAAGGGAACGAGATGAAGAAGGAAAGGAAGATAAATTTTCCAGCATACCTAAGAACGTGATTACTGATAGAAAATGGAAAAGAATGATACTTATGACATACCATCCAAAAGAGCGTCTGACACCTCATCTCTCGTTACATTCAGTGCTCTCAACAGTATGGCAATGTTCTGTGACTTCTTTGGATCCAACACTCTGTTTTCCTGTTCGACAGGAGGCAGAACTGATCTTCTAATAGGTTCTTTTGGTACTGGATTTGTGGAATTGCAGCCAAAAAGGGTCTCCATCATGTCCTCATTCAATCTGCAAACAAGCAAAAAAAAAAAATTCCCAAGATTAGAGACTGTACTTGAAACTTAATACCCAGTCAGGAAATGTACACGTTTTATCACTTACTGAAATGAGCTTGATTTTAGCTGGTCCCACACTGTAGCTCTCTCCGAGGTCGCTCGTACTTTGTCCCAGTGCAAAGGCTTTAACTTGGGCTTTGCACTATCCATTTCATCCGCATCTGTCTTCTCTAAAGAACTGGCACCTTTATAATTAACCTCTTCCATGGATTTTCTAGTCCCACTCCCAGGACTATTTTTGGGACTTGGAGTCCGAGAGTCTTGCTTTTTCAACACTTGGGAAGGTTTTGGAGACGCATTGGTTTCCAAAGACCTTACTGTCCTTGCTATTGACAGTCCTACTGCTGCTGCTGGGGGCGGAGGGCGTGGTGGTGGTGGCGGTGGCGGAGGTGGAGGTGGAACTGGAACTGGAACCGGAACTTTTATTCTTTGTGGGGAGGAATTGTTGCTAATTGATCGAAGTAGTGCCATATTTGGAGGTGGTGGTGGAGAGGAGAATTTTGGCCTTTTTGCATAAATAAATTCTTGAGTCTCATGTAGCTGCGCTACTAGACCTTGTGGTTGTTGAAGGGGCAGAGATGTAGGCGGTGGAGGAGGAGGAGAAGGCGGCTGCTGTTGCTTTATTGAAGGAATAATAACATGCTTCATTTCTGGTGAAGAAGCTGAAAGCCTAATTTTTGGAGATGTTCTTTTGGAACGAGGAACAGAATTAACATTCCCATTTATTTCATTTCTCACCGGAGTCACCAAATTGCTATTAGCCAGACGTGAAACCGGAGTATAATAGCTTTCTTCGTTACTAATTGTTGAGCCCTGTGGGGTATAAAATGCTGTGCCCCGACTCTCTTCCTCTGAAGAAGATGAAAGTGACATTGCAGTTGGTGAATTCTCAAGTGTAGGAGGCTTAGCCAATGGAGGCAATGGTTGCAATTCCGGACTGGGCCTATAACGATCCGATCTCTTCACTGAATTCAATTTATGATAAGGTGAACCATTTGCTCCTCCATTCATTTCACTCACCGATCTCCTACTAGGTTCCACGGTTCCAATGTAAAGAAAACTCGAGGGTGGTACCCTGGAGTCTTCTTCGAACCTTTCTGAGTTCCCTCCAACAAGCTTCTGCCTTTCTCCAGGGTGTTTAGCCCTGTGACGGTACAAAAAGAAAGCAAGTCCTGATAACATTCCCAATGTGACAATCCCAACAGATACAGCAATTGCAACCTTTTTAGCTGGTTTGGCTGGTTGTGTGGCTGTTGGGATTGGAACTGAGCCATTTGTTTGTGCAGCTGGTGGTGTAGTCTGTTGATTCTGATCTGGGGTTTCCCCTGAAGGAACTTCAGGGAAGAATGGCTGACTTGGGTCTGGAAAAATAGGACTATCCGGAGGAGGAGGTGGAGGTAAAGAACTGTCAGTGCCTGGAGGTGGGGCTGAACCTGCTGGAAACAATGGTTGGTGTAGAACTCTTCTATGAATTGCAGGAGAATAACAACTTTTTGTTGTTGATGTAGACAGTGATAGTAAGATAAAAAAGAGGCTCAATTGATAAGCTCTCATGGTGAATTTTTCTGGGTCGAAATTCTTCTTCTGTTCTTTTGTTCTTTCTCCAAATTCATCTCTGGTGCGAGGACTTTGTTTCTCTTTTCGATCCTTTGCAAAAGAAAAAAAAAAGCAAAAACAAAACAAAGAAAGAGAAAATAAAATAAAAAAATACTACTTTATTTAGAGAAAGAAGAATTAGACTATTTTAGTCAGGGGAAGCTTCTTTTTGCAGCAAGATCTGAATGCCCCCCCTCTTAATCGCTGAGATCAGCCGGAGCCGCATTTTTTATTTCTTATATAATTTTTTTAAAAAAATTTAAAACCTTTTTCTGCGGTAATTCTCATTAATAAAAATGGAAATTTTAAACTTTTTTTTAAGAAAAAGATTATAAGCTTAAAATTTTAAATATCATTTTCAAAAAAATTAATATGAACTGAAGTTAAATTATGAAAATGAAATGTGAGGAGGGAAGAGCGAATCGACTTTGGTTTTTTTTTTAAAAATTAACTCAATTATATTGTACGAATTTAAAAGAATTTAAATACGTAATTTTTTTAATTAAATATATAATATATTAAAAATTAAAAAAAAAAAATTGGTTCTTTTCAAAAATAAATGGACAATAATGTGCATGGACAAGGTGAAAATTAAAGGACCATGTTGATGCCTTTTTTTGTCCATTTTTTAATTAATGCTACTATCAAATTGTTTCTTCTTTCGTTGGGATCGAGAACTGCAGTGGCACAAATTTCATTAAATTTTTTTTTGCTTTGTTGTCGTTAAATCTCTATGGCCACTGACTGCTTTAGGACTTTAAAGCCTAAGGTTAGATTAAAATAATTTACAAAAATATTATGTTTTTTTTTTTGTCGAAATCTTCTTTATATAAAAAAAAATTGTAATTTAAAAATAAAAAATTGTAAGTGTTAAATTTAAATAATAAATTTATTAAATATTATTTTTAAAAATGATTGAATAATTTAATCAAATTAATAAAATAAAATTGCTACTTAAAACAGTATTTTAATCGAAAATTTGAAGATAACAAATCATAGATTTTTTTTTTTTGGTTAAAACCCTCTTTATGCTGTACAAAATCATATGTTCTATGAAAGAAAATCAGTGAAATTCATTCTCCTAATTATAAAACTTTTAAAATGGTAAGAATATTAGAAAGAGAGTAATTCTTTTGTTGCTAATGTTGGTTTTTTTCAAAAAAAAAGTTTTATTTTGTCATTAATTAACTTTATTTTTTGGATAAATCATTAATTAACTTTAATTTTACATAAACTTTGACTATTTTATATATGACTGTCGTAACGATTTTTTTATCGCTAGACGTAAATGAGTTTTAAAATAAAAAAAAATAAAAAAAGTTATCAACAATCTTTGTTAGGATATGATTGGTCATCTAAAAATTTATCTTTTTAATAAAATTATAAAAACAGGTTTAAAGTTTATCAAAAAGATAAATTTTAGTCTACGAAAAATCAAGTTGAGTCCAGAAGTCAGTTACGTGTGGGGAAAGATTAGCACCCCCACAACTCCTATAAATTGGTACCATTTAATTACGCATTATTTTCGGTGTTGGATAAAAATGGTTTTAATTTAAAATTTAACACTAATTCTCTTCGTTTTAAAAAATATTTTTACTAAAATTTTTATTTAGAAATATTAAGAAAATATTTAAGTTAATGAATTATCTTAAAATTCTCTAACATATAGGCAGAATTTAAAATAACTCTTTTCGCTTAAGATTTAACACAACAATTCTTAAAATGAAATAACACTCTTTATAAAAAATTATTGGTGACTCTCCAACATCTAGGTAGAGTACCAAAAATTATTTTTTTCGAAATGTTATTTTTATTTTATTTTGTAATATCATAATTTTTTTAAAAGTATTATTCTTTTTTATTATAAAATATTTTATCACTAAGTAGTAAATAAAAATTAAAGACAGAATAGTGCAAATAAATACTGATAATAACATGCTAACGTATGTATGAATTTTATGTAGGATGAGATGCAATTTAAAAGTTAGATTTTCAAGTATAATGAGGCCACCCCGACTCTCCAACATCTAGGCAGAGCTTAGGTGCAACTGTTTATATTTAAGATCTCAATTTACTGTTATACTTTTTATTTATTAATTTTATTATTGATGCGAATTAAGAAATCGTGTGAAAAGACTTAACGAAGTAAAATTTTTTAAATACCATATCATCTAGGAGGCATTTGAGAACAAATTGCTTCAAATGAAATTTTCATACGTGTCCTTACGATTTTTAGAATGTTTTGAGTAATGACTTGAGTAGAGGTTTTAAGGTTAGAGTTTCAAAATTTTGAAGATTCAGATTTTAGGGTTTTGGTTTGAGTTTTGAGGGTTTTATGATTTGGTTTTAAGGTTTAGAGAGTCTTAAGGCTTGGATTTTAAAGTATGAAAAATTTAAGGTTTTGATTTTAGAGTTTGAAGATTTTAGGGTTTCGGTTTTAAATTTTGAGGTTTGAGGTTTTGATTTACGGGTTTGGATTTAAGAGTTTAAAGGTTTGAGATTTCGGATTTTTGAGGGTTTTGGATTTTAGGGGTTTCGGATTTTAGGATTTTGGATTTTAAAATTTTGGATTTTAGGGGATTTTGGATTTTAGGGGTTTTAGAAACTTAAGATTTTGAAAATTAAGAATTAGTGTTTGAGGTTTCATTTTTAAGAAAATACGAACATTTCTAAAAATCTCCAACATCTAGACGAATTTTCGAAGCAAGTTCGATTTTAATGATTTTTAAAAATTAATTTAAAAATTTCTTATATATATATCTTTTTATGAAAATTTATTAATGATAATTTCCTAACATCTAAGCGAAATTATTTCTTTAGAAATATATTTTTTATTCTCTCTAACATCTAGGCAAGAAAAATAATAATAATAATAATTTGTTTTACCATTTTTAATATATGTTTTTAATTATGACTTGTTTTCAATTTTATTATTATTAAAACAATTAAAAATTTATCCTAACAAATTTAAGAACTTATCATGCATAAATATAAAAAATATAGTTAAAATAACAAAAATAATAATATATAAAAAAATTTAGAAAATAAAATTTAAAAAAGAAAAAAAATTTTTTACCTGAACCGGATCGGTCAACGGTCCAATCAAAGTCGGTTTAAACCGATTTAGCTATTTAATCTGCGGTTTAGGTGGAAGTCTACGGTTCAATCTAGTTCAGACCGATTCAATTAGATCGGTCAGTAACTGTTGAAAAAACGAGTCAACAGGTCGGATTGCGCGAATCCCGGATTGAATCCAAGTCAACGCGCGGATCCTCATTGACCGAAACGACATCGTTTTGGACAGTAGCCTTGTATATAAAACCAAAATTTTTTTTGGTCATTCTTCTCCTATTTCAAAAAAAAAGAAAAAAGAAAGAAAGCTCTGGGGCTCTCGTCGTCCGGTCGTCGGACCACTATGCTGGTAGCCACCTGGGTCACCGCCGGTGGTTTTCAGTCGCCGAAAAATACAAAAATTATTCTGGCAACTCTCTTCAATGCCTTTTTTTCAGATATGACTTTCTTTTCGTCAGAAATGGCCCAAATCGTCGTAGATCGGGACTTGAAGTTTTCTGCCTTATTCTTTTTTTTTTAGACTAAAACTGATTTGTTTTCTTTGTTTTTGCTGAGGTTCCTCCCTACGGAGAGAATTGTTTGTCTTTTTTTTGTTTCTGTTTTCGTGGTTGGTGTGGGTTGAAGGGTTTTTTTTTTTTGTGTGTCTGGATATCCGAGAGGGTGTTGTAGGCAATATGTCTGGAGGATTTGAAGATCTATCCGAAAGTTTTTTTCGAGAGGGGGGTTCGAGAGAGCCAATCAAGGGGAAGAAGTTAAAAAATTTTAATGAGTTCAAAAGGAAACAGGTGGTGACAAGGTGGCTGTAGTGTGGTTGTTTGGTCAGATGGCTGGATAAGAAGCTGGTCGGGTAGGAAAGTGGGCGGCTAGTGGGTAGTGAAGATGGGCTGTAGGGTGGCTGGTCGATGGCAGCAGTAACACCGTTCACCAGCCACCTTACTTTATGTTTTCTTTTTCTTTTTCCTATTTTCACTTTTTTTTAAATAATTAATAATTATTTTAAAATATATTTATTATTATTATTATTATTATTAATTTTAATAGTAGATCCATACAAAACAAGTATTTACAATGACAAGATTGAAGAAAGAAATTTTAACAAGAAACAAACTTACAAAAAAATTATCAACAAAATAATTTTATTGAAAAAAAAAATCCTCTCCACCTTTATTTCAAAATTAAAAAAAAAAAAATCGAATCAAACCAAAACCGATTTGGATTACTTTCTCCATTATGCTAAAAGAAAGTTTCTCCATAAATAGATATCAAAATTAATTTGGAAAAAAAAAACAATAAATAAAGGAAGTTATTTAGATCATCTTAAAATTTCAAAAACAAACTTTGAAAATGAAATTTAATCTTCCTTCCAATGACCAAAAAATGCCAACTACTTTAAATTAGCATCTCCATTATTTTTAAATGATAATATGATTAGACATATCTTTAAGTTTTGTCTGAATTTAATCACGTTCCAAACATTTTAAGGGTCATAAGATTTGAATTTTGAAATACTTTAATTATTGAACTAACTTTCAAAGGTCTATTCTTTCAAAATCTTTTAAATCACCCTTCAATATATTCATTTAATTGCATAATAAACCATAGTATTTTCCATTTTTGCCTGTTTGGGGATCTTGCTTTAATGTTTTTCTTGGTTGGTTTGATTGATAGTTGGTCCCTGATTTGATGAGTAAAGATGTTGACATTCAATTATGCACAATTATAACAATTTGTATGTTGCATTTGTTGATCTATGATCATAGCAATAATAATGGGAAGTTTGATCAGGGATAACGTAAAATGTACGAGAGGAATTTGAGAAATGGAAAGGGACAAAGGACTCCACTGTAATTTAAAATAGAAAAAAAAAATGAAAAGTGATAGGATTATAAATTAAAATTTAACTAAGATTATATTTAAGATTATCAAAAATTAAATTTTAATTATTAAAAATTAAAATATTTTATCAACCATACTAAAAAATATCATATAATTATTGACAGCCTTGACGTAACACCTTTCTTTATTTCTTTTTTATTTTTCTCCTTTTGCTTCGTGATTTAAGTTGTGGATGGGACGCCACTTTGGAAAGACAATATTATCCTTTTTATAATTGCTTTCTTTTAACCTTCTTTTATTTCTT